AGACGTTAGCTCAGGGCTGATCTTCCTAAAAGAAAAAAAATGGAGAGTGAGAAGAAGTAGAAACAAAAAATAAAATGGCAGATTTAAGCCTTAAAAAACAATAATTGCTTTAAATCTAAATGGTCTAACTATTCCAATTAAAAGACAGAGAATGGCAGCGGGGATGAAAAAATATCACTGAACTATATGTTGTTTATATAATGTCTTCCAGAAAATAGAAGAGGGGATACTTTCCTTCTCATTCTATGAAGCCAGTATTACCCTGATGCCTAAACCAGGTATAAATATAAACAAAATTAAAGTACAGATAAATATCCCTCATGAATGTAGATGCAGAACTTCTTAACAATATATTAGCAAATAGAATTCAACAATGTATAGTGAATTATACACCATGAACAAATGGTTTTTTTTCCCCATGGTTACAGGCTTATCTAATATTCTAAAATCAATCAATATAGTCTACCATATTAACAATCTAAAGAAGAAAAATCACATGATCATGTCAACTGTTGCAGAAAATGATTTTGACAAAATTCAACACTCATTTAAGATTAAAGATTCTTAGGAACTAGGAATACAGGGGAATGTCCTCAACTTTGTAAAGAATATTTATAAAACCCTACAGCTAACATCATTCTTAATGGTGAAAGACTGAAGACTTTCCTCCTAAAGTCAGGAGCCAGGCGAGTATGTCCACTCTCACCACTACTATTTAACATATTCCCACATGTTCTAGTCAGTGCAACCAGGCAAGAAAAAGAAAGAAAAGACATAGGTTGGGAAGGTAGAAAAAAAGTCCCTATTTGCAGATGATTTGATAACTGTTTGCATAGAAAATCCCAAAGAATCTGCCAAAGGAGCAAACAAAAAACATCTCCTAATGTTCAGCAAGGTCACAGAGGATATCCTCATTCAGAAATCAATTGTGTTTCTGTATATTACTGATAAACACGTGGAAACTGAAATTTAAAATATAGCACCATTTGAATCACTTGAAATAAAGGAATAAAACACTCAGTTATAAGTCTGAGAAATATATACAAGACTTGTACACTGAAAACCACAAAATGCTGATGAAAACATCAAAAAGATGTAAATAGATGAAGTCATATTATGTTAACGGATTGGAAGACTCAATATAGTAAAAATGTTAATTTTCCTCCAATTGATATATAGGACTATCACAATTCCTATCAAAATCACTGTGAAAGTTTTTGTAAATATCGACAAGATTATTCTAAAATTTCTGGGGAAAGACAAGGGAACTAGAGTAGCTCAAACAAGTCTGAAAAAAGAAGAAAACAGGAAGAATCACTTCGCCAAATCTCAAGAAATATTACATAGATACAATGTCGTATTGTCAGAGAAATAGACACATAGATTAATGGAATCAAACAGAGAACTCAGAAATAGTTCTACACAAGTAAAACCAAATGATTTTGGGCAGTTTTTACAGCAAATCAATAGAGAAAATATAATTTCTTCCCCAAATGGTGCTGAAACAATTGGATATCCATAGCAAAAAATTAAAAAAGAACCTCAATCTAAATTCTAAAACTTACATCAAAGTTAACTCAAAATGAATTAGGGACATCAATGTAAAATGCAAAACTACAAAACATTTAGATAAAGTAAGAGAATATCTACAGGATCTAGGGCTAGGCAGAGAATTCTTAGACTTGACACCAGAAGCGTGATCAGTAAAAGATAAAACTGATAAATCGGACTTCATCAAAATGAAAAGTGCTTGCTCTGAAAAAGCCCCTGTTATGAGGATGAAAGACAAGCTGCAGGTTGGGAGGAAACATTTGCAAACCACAACCAATGAAGGACCAGTGCCCGGAAGGTAAAAAGAGTGCTCAAAACTCAACAAAAATAAATCTAGGCATCCAACTGAAAAATGAGCAAAAGACATGAAGAGATATTTCACCAAAGAGGATATACAGGTGACAAATAAGTATGTGAAAGGATGTTCAACATCATTAGCCATTCAGGAAATGCATATTAACCTACAATGAAATATCATTACACACTCATCAGAATGGCTAAAATTAAAAAATAGTTACAACACCCAATGCTGGCAAAGGACAGAGAGAAACTGGATCATTAATACATTGCTGATGGGAATATAAAATGATATAGCACTCTGGAAAAAAATTTGGTGATTTCTTTAAAAACTGAATATGCAACTTCTATGAGATGTATCGGTTGTACTCTTGGGTATTTATTTCAGAGAAACAAAAACTTATGTTCACACAAAGAGCTGTACGCTAATGTTTACAACTTTACCCACAAAAGCCCCAAACTGGAAACAGCTCAGATCTCTTCAACAAGTGAATGGTTAAACAAACTGTGGTACACCCATATCGTGGAATACTACTCTACGATAAAATGGAACAACTTGGATGGATTATGAGGGCATTATACTGAATGAAAAAAAAAGCCAGTCTCAAAGGATCACATACTATATTATTCCATTGGTATAACATTCTCAAAATGACAAAATTTTAGAGGCAGAAAAATGGGTTAGTCATTTCTATTGTTGTCAGGGAGTATGGAAGATGTATGGAGGGGAGATAAGTGATTATAAAGGAATAACATGAGAGAGATCTTTCTGGTGATGGAATAGTTCTGTATTTTGCTTGAGGTGGCGCAATACAAATCTACATATAAGATAAAATGATACATAACCACACATACACATTATACTAGTGTATATTTTGGGTTTTGATATTGTACTATAATGATTTAGGATGTAACCATTAGGGAAACTAAGTGAAGGGTACACAGACACCAGACTCTGCTACGCTATCTCTGGAACTACTTATGAATCTATAATTATTTCAAAAGAAAAATTTAAAAATTAGATACTAGTGCTTTGTCTTCATAAATTGAAAAATGCAGGATCCTTTGTTTTACAAGAAATAAAATTTTACAATATAATTTTGGAGGAATAAAAGAAAGGACACCCACTATGATTCAGTGCCTGAGCTGAAATATACATTCTGGTCACATGTTGAATATATAACCCTTGCTATTTGGAGTTACAGTGAATGAAGGCAAGGTATGTTCACGAAACACAGGCATAAAGGGAAATCTACTGATCCTGCTCTAATTCGAATTGTTTTGCCAGCTCTTTGAGGAAAAATGAGTAAGAGTGCACAGGCAGATATTTTCAATTCATGTTAAATATTTCCCTGATTTTGTTTTGTAAAAATATGTTTTTGAATAAATGATTATTATATAGTAAGAGAAGACCATTAGATCAACAATTATGTAGAGTGGATGATGTCAACTTTAATCGTGAACATGTTTATGTGTTTACAAGTATATAAATGTATTTTCATGTTCATATGACATAGTATATGTTCCACCTCTCAGGACTGATTCTGAGCTTGTTCCATTCAGTCAAACTCAAGTAATGGTACTGATGCTAGAGCTTTCTCTACTCCGTCATCATTGCATCTCTAATATAGTCAATGTTCCACTTTTCTTCTTGAGGACTTTTGAACGTTAAAATGGCTATATCCACATGGGGTAATTCAGAGAGAGAGAGAGCTGAGTAAATTTCAGAGCACAGAAGAATGTCGTTTTTGCTGAACAAGAAACAGGCAACCTGCTGGCTGCTATCAGAGACCTCACCAGATAGCATGGATAGAAACAATTAATTAAGCTTCTCTTCCCTAGCTACTTACAATGTACTGTTGAACAAAAGTTGACAGCCTTAGGGGAAATGAGTCAGTCCCCCACCCCCCCACCCCGCTTCTCCTGGTTCTAGGGACAGTACTCTCCAGGGCACATCAGGAAGTCTTTGCTGCTGATCTAACTGTTTGTATGATACCTCCATGTGTATCCACATTTACTCAGGTAACGCAATCTCCTCCCCTCATCATATTTCCTCTACCCATTCCCTTCCACCAGGCTTCTTTTCCTGGTCTATCCTGGTGATGGGGTAACCTGGCATCTCTTTTATTTTTGTCTGTCTCTCATTGATAGAAAACTTTCTGGAGCTCTTCATTATTAAACTTTGGAAACACACATTGCTCAGCTCTTACATTTTAAAAGCCTTGCCTTTCAAGACTAGTGTTTCTGTCCTGAGTCTCAAAAGTCTATTTTTCAGGGTAAAATAAAAGCCAATAATTTCCTCCCTTGTTCTTTTCTGCCGTAGCATTCATCTCCTGAGGCAGCTGAGATAGACAATCCTAGTGCTTGGTCTGAGGATACCTATGGGATTCGATACAGGAGATGTGGGAAAGCAGAGTAACTCTTGATTACTCAAATGTTATCCCTTTACTCCTGCAGAGAAAAGACTATGAAGAATTACGTGAAAATATTAGCAGTTGTTGTCTCTCGGTGGGATTTCAAGACAATTTTTTTGTACTTTTCTATGTTTTCTAAATTTACTATAATTGATACATACTGCTTTTATCTAAATATATAGCTGTCGGGTTAATATGTGTTAAAATATAGGTATCATATGTATATAAATATATTTGATACATATAAATATATTTTATGTATATGTCATATTTACATATGATACCTATATTTTAACACATATTAACCCAGCAGCTATATATTCACATAAAATAAATATATTTTTATATAACATATATATTTGTTATATATATCATATTTCTACATATGATATATATTTTTATATACATATGATGTATATTTCACAAGTTTTTTGCATTAATTTTGACTCTTAAGGCAAGAGATTTTTACTTAGATAATATTTTCTCTAGGTTCTTCTCAAGATGCTGCCTTGATAAAACTGCCAGAATCTTTTTCTATCTCTTCTACAGTCTTTACCAAATCGTGAAATCTGGGTATGAAACTTTTCCTGTGAGTGAGATTGACTTGCTCACCTGTTTTTGGCGTTAGAGGACCTCGCTGAGATTCGAAAGCAGCCTGGAGGCTTCTCTCTCACGTAACTGGTTTTATCTGATAACTTTTCACAGTGACTCTCACTACCTCTCTGCCCTCTTTTCCAGGAGGTTCCTAGCCTCAAATTACAGTGAAACATACTACTCCACAAAAGGAGAGGAGATCACCAGACATCCTCAAATCATGGTATTTTATGGAAACTTCCTATGTCTCTTCTCGGAAAATATTATTTTCTTGTGTGATTTTGAAATCCAATTCCAGCTTTACAAGAGCTTCAGAAAGTATTTCATCAGAAATGGGTCCTACATTGACTACCGTCACTGAACGATCCTGGAACGGAAAATCTGACCCTCTGAGCTCTCGAGGAGGCTGATCACTGCCTAACAAGCAAACCAATGACTGCTAACGTGTTTTTCTTTACAAACTGGTTTCTATGTGCCCCAAATTGTGTTAAGTCTGGAGGGAGGGTACAGCAGGACCCCAAAGAAGTATAAGGTCCCTGATCAGATTGTAATCAAGCTAAATGGCTAAAATCTAAAGACGTGAAACATTTTTAAAAACGCCATCTGATTGACCCTATGTGAGTCACATCCTCTAGTCTTCTCATGCACCAACATTGAGGTCTCTCCTTCATTCTCCAAGTGAATCTCTGTTCGTTTATTGTTAATATTATTCCAGCATATACAGTTTCTATTTTTATAACCTATTCCTCTTTCTAGAACCTGCCCTCTGCAGCATTCTAACCAAGGATGACCTTATTCTCTCTTACCAAAGTATCCTTTTTAAAACCTATTTCCTCTATTTAGGGCAGCTGTCAACTATGAAATCTAAGTCATCATACAATCTTTGTAAAATAGAACATGAAGAAAACTGAGTAACATTCTTTTATGAAGGGAGTGGTTGTTGGCCTGTGAGGGTCTGAGGTCCCTGAGGGGCCATGGAAAGTGTCACACATAGGCAGGAGTTGAACAGACAGAAATGATGGAAAGAGTAAATACCTGCTAGAATCCCCAGGGGCAAAACACCAAGTAGGAAGTGATAAAGATGCCAACCCGAGAGAAGTAGAGAGACAGGAGGGAGAGGCATGCCAGGAGCTGGTTGGAGAGTGAGACCTAACTTTAACAATCATCAAAAACTTTGGCTTGATTTCATATGCAACTGGGACAAATTATAATAATAGCACAAGAGGGGTAGTTTGGCAGAGATTTTAGGATGGATTAAAGGAGTAATATTTCTGTGGAAAAGGGTCACATTTCTGAGGCTGGTGTCATCAACTAATAGACTGCTAAATTTGGGAGGAAAGAATCCATATACTGCTTTATACAAAGTAACCATGTGATTAAAATAAAAGGATTCTAAAGTAGTTTCAAGATTTTCCAAATGAAAGAAAGCAATGAATGAATGCATGAATGAATATGTGTAATTTATGAGAATGAAGTACTGATATATTCTGAGTAGAAAATATGTAGATATTAACATTTATATAATATCAATGTATGTATTTATATCAATAGCCTCTTCATCTGTTTTAGGATCACTGTTTTTACCAAGGATCCGTCATACATGAATTAGACTCTGCTGCCAGCATCAGCACGTGTAATGGTCTGAGGTAATGCACAGTTTATCTTTCTGTTCCCTTTATGAGTTTTCCTATGGATTTTCAAAGACATTCACTTCTCTTCTTTCTTTTCAACAACCCTGGTAAATAGAAAAATAATGAAAAAAAGCTATTGCATATTATGAGTGTGAGTGCCCACTCCAGCACATTGCTTATGTTCATTTTTGACAAGAAGATATCTAACCCACAGCCCTAAGCAAGACAAGTTCTTCAGTATATGATCAAGGAATTCAGAGTTGGGAGACTGCTGGAAATCATCTAGCCCGTCCTTTCATGTTATAGGTCAGAATACTGAAATCAGAAACTTGCTCCTGAATGTTCAATTTGATAGTGTTAGAACTCAGTCCAAACACCAGGCCTCCTAACTTTGAGTCTAAGGAATTCCCACCACACCACAATGCTTCACAGCTTTTTACTAAATCAGGTGGTGTTTCCAGTCTCTAGCAAGTAAAACGTCAGAAGGAGAGCCTATATAAGCTCTCTGTCCATTTTGGGCTCAAAGACAAAGGAGGAAGATGCGGGGAGGGAAGGGGGAGAAGAACAAGAAACTTTTGTCTTCATTTATGAGGGCTTTACTTGAGCAGTTCCTAGTGTTTTCAAGAATGAGAACCCCTTGAATGACAAAATTACCACATAATAGTATTTGTGCTTTTATATATTTACTCTACAATTAGGGCATGATGGACATAAAAATTCACAAAATTTTTGGAAGAACTGAGATGCTTACCAGGTGTCCACAGCCCCATGCGGTAATTGCTACTCCACCTATCTTTCAAACTAGAGATTGGGCTATCAAACTTCTGAAAATCCAGATAAGTTAACTCTCACAAAAGTTGTTAATTCAATCAAAGGACACATATAATCTCATCTCTTTATCACCCAGAACACCTGGCTATATGCTCATGAGGACTTTATAGTTTCCCTTTTTTAAAAAAGCAGAGTCAATAAAATGGAACAGAATAGTATTATGTAGTAATGTAATATAGTTGTAAAATGGAATGCATCTTAAATATACGTTGTTTCCAATTTCCACAGGGGTTTCTTCAGGGTAAATGACCAAAGGTACCTCATTGAACCAATAAAATACTCAGATGAGGGAGAACATTTGGTGTTCAAATATAACCCGAAGGTGCAGTACGCTGCCAACTATTCTTGTACACAGCTCAATTCTACCAGGACAGCTGTTCCAAAGGATAATGCTAAATCCATGGAAGACTCCAAAATGGAAGTGAGTGCTTTATTTTTAAATCATTTTTACCCCAGGTAAAATGTCTCTTATTTTCTTTATGACCTTGAGAGAGAGATTATGAGCCCAAATAAGTGTACATGCTACCTGAGTCTGACTCTTCATTGTTTGAAATATGAAATGGCAAACTTTCATTTTTATTATCTATATAGAAAGTGTTCATTCCCTACAGTAAATCTCAGTTTGTCTTTTGGATTTCAAGGGAGGGGGATATCTATAACTCTACATACAGATTTATAACATTAGGGCTATAAGTGGTTGGAAAGAATGAAATTTACAATGTCTTGAAACCTCTCCTAGGTATTGTCTTTCCTTGTCTTCCCTGCCAGATTTTGGTGAGAACTGTTGATGATAAGCCAGGTTCTCCCCCTTTCATCAGGTCAAATGTTCTAGTTAAGGATAATTAAGAGTAATAACAAGGCCAATTTCTGGTGGGATGATTGCACAATGAAAGTCCTATGTATTTTAGGCTTTTCTATGCTGCTAGTTCATATCACTTTAAATCCTCAGTAAGTGTTAGCCTTTAAGCTCCATGGGTGTTCATCTTCTTCATACATCCATGGTACAGACTATGCCTGAAACTTACTAGATGCCTAACATATGGTCTTTGATTGAATCAATCAATCAATAAATGATTAATTAGCCCACAAAAGAATGACTTAGTCAAATCTTTGAACAATATGCCTCTGATTTAAACTCAGAGAATAAGCATGTACCTCAGTGTATGACACTGAAAACAGAATTTTCTGGTATTGATGTTTCAAATAAAAGATCTATAATTAGCAACTTTTATACATGGTCCCTTGGAATTAAGACTGCTGAAGGGAGAGATTGACAGACAGGGGGAGTAGAAGGAATACAGTTGGTCCTTCTGGCCAGTGCTGTGCTTTAGCTGTCAACTATAGATGGATCCTTTTTAACATGATCTTATTTAGTAAGCGTTACTTTGTAAATGAAAAAAACTAAATGTTAAAAATTGGATTCATGATTCTTTATTTTAAATTCTTATTTTACATGAAAAACTAAACAAAGAAAGGAAGCATAATCAAATGCAAAATGTTGTTGCAGATTTATTAAAATCTGATATACAGGGCTAAATGTTTTAATAATATAGTGGGTCTCAATTAGATAAATTCCTAGAATTATTGGATATACTTTTGTATCTCATCTTCTGTATCAATAATATTGACATTTCTTACCATTTTAAGTGTTAACATGAGAAATATTAACCATACTTCATTAAATTTTTCATAAATTTCCAGAGCACCCATAAAGAAAAGTATGTGGAACTGTTCATTGTTGCTGATGATAATGTGGTAAGTTTTCACATGAACATTATCTCTTCATTCATCTTTATAAAACTATAGTTGTAATTCTAACAAACAGAAAAAAATATTTTAATCAGAATTCCATTCTGGGATAAATGTTCTGTTTTTAGCTTCCCCGAATAGACTTCTATAAGAGATGATAAGGTTCTTTGGCATTACAGCAGACTAAGCCAAAAGAGCACCCTCTTCCCTGTTATGAACATATGGAAATAATGAACAATGTATAAAAAATTGAAGATACATTCACAATCTATAGTTGAGTTCAAAAGAAAACACAGGAAATCTCCAAGTGCTAAACATGAGGAAGAAAATCTCTGTCAGAATAGTAAGTAAAATCAAAGACCTGGTGATCTACAATACATGGGATATACCGCGTAAAGCCCAGAGCCATAAAGGGCTGCCCCACCCCTGAAAAGGGAACTAGGAAAGTTCTCTCCACTGAAATTGCAAAGAGAAGGGAAAAGTTCTGTTTGCTGCAGTGATGGACAGAGAAAATCTAATGCATAGGAAAGCAAAAGTCCTAAGCCTGTGTCATGCACTGATGTGGGGCATGGTATTATATTTTTCTTCAGATAGACAAATGCTAAACAAAGCTTTCAACATAGAAACTGATTAGAAATGTGGTAAACTACTAGAGCCCAAGTCAAAAATGCCCTATAAAGACACTTTCATAATCCAAGATAAAACTAATCACATGAGAAAGAGTCAACCAACATAATGAAAAGGAGAGTAACTCTCCAAGAACTGTAAATTGTCCGCTGATATTTCAGATTACACACCCAACAACAGAGTATAAAAAGATACGCAACAAAAAATAACAGGGTCACAGGGAAGGCAAGGGTTTTTTAGCTCCTCTCTATTAGAAAATTCTAAGTAAAGCAGAACAAAAATTCAACAAAAATAGAAAATACTTGAACCACATGTAGGTTTGATCTAATCAATTGATAGACTATCCTGCACCCACAAAATAGAAAATACATATTCTTTTCATTGGTGAGAACATTCTTTTAACTAACTTTTTAAAAAATGCTAAGATAAGCCTTGTTCTTAATAACAATTTATTAGTAAAGACTAAGAATAATTTATTAAATTTAAATTTAAGTACATTAAATTGAACTTTACCTGCATAGCTCTCACACATGCTGCCTTAATGTGGTCTTAAAATATTTAAGGGTTTCTGTTTTTTAGAGAAGTTCCTATAGTAAATTATCCATTTTCATTTGACAAATAGTTAATGAATATCCAATATGCCAGGTTCTGACTATTAAATATATATATTTAACATATATATACGTGTTAGTCAGCAGAACAAGAGTTAAGTAGAGTGAGGGTATCTGGTAAGACAGAATAGGAAAAACGAAGGCAGCTTTTGGCAAAACATGTTGAGGAGTCTACATCTCTTGAAGGCAATGTGAGTTTTAAGCTGCTGAGTAGAGTGAGGATATGGATCTGTACACCCAGAGTTAGTAAGTTGAAAGGGAAAGAAGAACACAAATGTCTGAATCCTGGGGACACTAACCATTTACTAAAGATTTGGAAATAAGAGTATCTCTATCCTTCTCCCTTACCTCCATAGGTGGAAATCATTGATTGATGAAGTACCCTATTCTTTTTATCCCTAAGACAGCCTCAGAATCTTTCCCAATTGTGTGTTTTAGGCAAGCCCTATCAATTGATCATGGGAATCCCAGTGTGAAAACGTATTTGCCATCCGGAATTTAAAGAGATGGTGGAAAAGAGAAACTTGTGCACAGTAAAACTCTAGGAGTGTATAGGGTAACAGAAACCAAGGTGATAAAAAATTTCTTGAAAGAGAAAATAGTCAGTATTAAACAAGAATAAGATGACCAGGAAGACGAGGAAAAAGTGGTCAATGGATTTGATAACTAAAAGGACAATCATGGGCCTATCAACAATACTTTCAACAGAATAGCAGCAGTTAAACCAATGAGTAGTGGGTGAAGGAGGGCGTGGGAGATGAGAATTGAAGAGATTCTAATATTATATCTTTGAGGTATTTAGATATTTAAGACAACAGGAGACCAATGGAATGATGACTAGAGGTTACTTGCAAGATTCAGGAAAGCCATGCTTCTTTTTATTTTTGTTATGAAAGAAGCTCAACCATGTGCATTTATCCCTACAGAACATCTTATGTTATTATCAAGTATATTTTATCAGGTCTAAATTGATAATGCTGAGAGTAAGGTCTTGACAGCACAGATAGGGAATCCATTTGTAACAAGAGAACAAAAGACAGAATAGGCTGGAGCAGGAAAGTCTGCTTTGTCTTCTTAACCATTTCCTGGAGAGAAGGGGGAGCCACAATTTCTTGCCCATCTCCATCACATCTCTGACTCCAGGGTGATCCTTGATATATGTTACTTAGTTTGTGACCACCATGGACAGAGGAGGGCTGATCAAGTTGCTGTTTTTTGCCATATAATGGCTGCTATGGAGTTTAATATGTTTTGTTTCACATAAAGAACACTGATCAGTTGGTTTAATAAAGCAATGTAATGTGAAAAGGGGACAAAGTTATAAAGACAACCATAAAGTAGTGCTAAGCTGAAGCATGTCTTTAGAAACTGCTGTTATCTAGTCATTTTATATAAAAAATGTATTTCTGTATAAGTTGCGCGGATTTTTAGCTGACTAGGAGGAAAGCTAATAATTGTTTTCTTTGAAATATGTCATAATGGGTAAAGTATTTTGAGTTTTTATTCAACTCCTACTATTAATGAATGTTGATCTGATGTTTATATTTCCAGTATCGCAGGAATAACCATCCTCCCGTTAAACTGAGGAACCGAATTTGGGGAATGGTCAATTTTGTCAACATGGTAAGATTTGATACACTTTGAATCAAGCTAAAACTACAAATGGAAAGAACATTTTAGGATAGCTATCTGCTGGATTTTTGTGGTAATCCTGATGCTGAGATCACCCCAAACACATTTGTCAAGTAGTTCAGTTAGCAAATGTGCATTGAAAAATTCACAGCAACAAATGAACCACAGCTGAGTTTTTTATTTCCTCAGTAAATGACATTTAATATTTAAATAAGTTTCAAATATTGATCACTAATCACAAAATTTATAAAGCAATGTACAAAGATTTGAATACCCATTATACATAAATCAAATCCACTATTTTAAATCACTATTCCATGACCTTGCATAGCAAAATGAGTTTCAAGCTATACTTTATTGTCCATATTTTGACACAAAAATTAGGGGAAACATTTCAGTAAGATGCACTAAAATGATTAATTTTTCCAAAATAGAATTAACTATAAACTTTTTCTAAAAAGTAGTACTGTGAATTGTACACATCCCTCTCATGTTGACTTCTTCTCAGTCATACATCCGTTCCTAGGATAAAGAGGGCCCAAAGAAAGATGATGTAAGGAATAACTCCACTAGGTCAGTGGTTGTTCATTAACTAGTTGAAGGACATTTGATCTGTTTCTAGTTTTTTACTGTAATGAATATAATTTTTTAAACATTTGCATACAGGCGTATGTGCAAACATGAATTTTCACTTATTTTTTGTAAATGACTAGGAATTAGACATACTGGGTCTTATGGTACGTGTATGCTTCTTTAGCTGGTTCTAACAAATTTTGATATATTTTATTTTTAATTTTCATTCTAATTGAATGAATAATTTTTAATTAAAATATCTCTAGTATCTCTTGTGACTTCCTCTTTGAGTCAGTGTTTATATATATATATTATTTAACTTCCAAGAACTTGGTATTTTTTTAATATATCTTTATGTTACTTGTTTATAATTTATATTCTATTAGAATTACAGAATACGTTTTGTTTGATTTAAATTCTTTTAAATTTGTCAAAGTTTGTTTTATGGCCAGAATCTGGTCTGGCAGATAATGTTTGTGTGTACTTGAAGAAAAAAAAGAATATTCTGCTATTGCTGGTCAGAGTTTTCCATAAATATCAATTATGTCAAGTTGGTTGATAGTGCTTTTCAGGTCTTCTGTTCTTTAATGATTATCCGTCTACTTTTTCTAACAAATACAAAGATGAGGGTTGCAGTCTCCAACTGTGATGGTGAATTTGTCTCTCCTTTCAGTGCTATCAGCTATTACTTCATGTATTTTGAAGCTTTGTTGTAGATGAAAACTCATTTAGAATCGTCTTCTTGGTGACTTGACCCTTTTTATCATCATGTAATGATTTTTTTTAACCCTGAAAATATTCTTTGTCCCTAAGCCTATTTTGTCTGAAATTAATATATCTACTCCAACTATCTTTTCATTAGAGTTTGCAAGATATATCTTTTGCTATCCTTTTACTTTTAATTTATCTATATCATTATATTTAAAGTAGGTTTCTTGTAGATAGTATTATTTTCTTTATTAAATCTGACAATCTTTGTCTTTTAATTAGTGTGTTTAGACTATTTACATTTAATATAATTATTGATATGGCTGGATCAAAATCTATCATTTTGTTAGTTATTTTCTCTTATTCCAAATGTCCTTTTTAAAAATTCTTTGCACTGCTGCTTTGTGATTGTTTTTTGTAATTCCATTTTATTTCCACCGTTGGCTTTTTAAGAATGCTTTAGTCCTTAAACATGGATTTATAATATAAATGCTTAATAGAACAGACAACCTTCAAATAATATCATATCCTTATTCATATAGTAGAAGTACCTTATAACAGCGTACTCCAATTTGTTCCATCCACCTTTGGTGTTAATATTTTCATCAATTTTTTAAAATAGACCTTGTTCATTAGAACAGTTTAGTATTTACAGAAAAACTGAGAAGAAAGCATAGAAAACTCTCATTTATCACAAATCCAGTTTCCCCTATAACCAATATTTTTGATTTGTATGGTACATTTGTAACAACTAGTATTGATATATTATCAACTAAATTTAAATAATTATTAAGATCTCCTTAGTTTTTAAAAAATCTCCTTTTTCTGTTTCAGAATCTCATCCAAGATACCACGTTATATCTAGCGTTCATGTTTCCAAGGGCTCCTCTTGACTCTGACAGTTTCTTAGACTCTCATTATTCTTGATGACCTTGAGAGTTTTTAAGAGTACTAGTCAGACATTTTGTAGGATGTCCTTGTGTTGGATTTCATCTAATTGCCATTTTCATCACACCATGTCAATGGTACATATTGTCAACCTGTTTTATTACTGTTGATGTTGATATTGATCATCTGGATGAGGTAGTGTTTTTAGGTTTCTCCCTGGCAAAGTCACTCATTTCTCATCCCTTTTCACACTTTATTGTTAGGAATAAAGTCTCTATACATAGTTCACACTTATGTGTGGAGTGGGGAGTTAGTTCTCCTGCTCCTTGAAAGTAGAGTACCTACAAAAATTAGTTGATATTCTTTTACATAGAAAATTTATCTCTTTTCTCTCCATTTATTTGTGCAATCATTTACATCAGTATGAACTCATGGGCATTTCTTTTGTATTTTGAATTACAATTTAATATTACTTCATTTTATTGCTCAAATGGTTTTAGTATTGGCCATCAAGCAATGTTTTAGTTATTTGGTGTGTCCCTTTGACATACTTCATCAATGTGTGTGTGTGTTGGCACATGTGTTTCTTGGCACTTCCTTACTTTCTGGCACTATAAGATGCTCCAGGCTCATCTAGTATATTTCCTGCCCCAGTGCTAGAATAGGCCATTTCTCTAAGGAGCCCAGGTTCTTTTATTGGAAAATGGTATTAGGAAGCAAGATCCAGGCACTAGGTATCCTAGATGCTATTCGGGGTTATCATACATTTTACTTTTATGCATCCTATAAATCAATAATACATTGCTGTTATTTTTGCTTTAAACAATAAATTGTCTTTCAGAGCAATTAAACATCAGAAAAAAACGTGTATTTAATATTTACCATTATTTTATCTATTTCCAGAGATCTTTATTGTTTTGTGTGTGTAGCTTGCGCTTCCTTGTGGTATCATGTTACTTCTGTCTGAAAACTCCTTTAACGTTTCTTGTAGTGCATATCTACTACATATGAATTCTCTCAGTTTTTGTTTGTGTAAAGAAATTTTTATTTCTCCTTCATTTCTGAAAGGTATAAAATTCTGAGTTGACAGTTTTTTGGTTTTGTTTTTGTTTTTCCTACAGCATTTTGGGGATGTTACTCCATTTTCTCCTGTCTTGAACTGGAATATTTTCTGACCCCCCTTTCTTCAGTCCCCTGTGTGTGATATCTATGTGTGTGTATGTGTGTGCATACATGCATGTGTGTTTGGTGTTTATACTGCTTAGGATTTTCTGAGCTTCCTGGATATGTGATTTAATGATTTTTATTAGTTTTGAAAATTCTTGGCCATGATCCCTTCGAATATTTCTTCTCCCTTGCTATCTCTCTCTCTTTTCCTTCTGGGATTCTAATTCCACATATGTTAGACCCTGTGATTTTCCCACAGCTTTGAATTCTCTCTTTTGTGTTTCATTCTTTTAATTTTTTGTGTTTCAGTGTGGATAATTTCTATAAAACCAACTTTAGTTTCACTGATTCTTTCTTTGCTTGTGTCTTGCTTACTGATATGCTCATCAAATCCATTCTGTTATCTCTGGAACTATATATTTTTCTATCATTTCCATTCACACTCTCTCTCTCTCTTTTTTTTTTTTTTTTTTTGCTGAGGAAGATTTTCCACGAGCTAACATAACTTGCCAATCTTCCTCTTTTTGCTTGAGGAAAATTCCCCCTAAGCTCACATCTATGTCAAGCTTCCACTATTTTGTATGTTGGTTGCCGCCATAGCACAGCTGCCAACAAGTGGTATGGTCTGTGCCAAGGAACCAAACCCACCCACCAAAATGGAGTGCGCTGAACTTAACCACTAGGCGACAGGGCCAGCCCCCATCCACTCCCTCTTATAGTTTATACCTCTGCTGAAATTCCTCATCTCTTCAAGCATGTTTTTCACTATATTAGATTTTTATTGCCACGTAGCAAATTACCACAAACCTAAGAGCTTAAAACAGCACCCATTTATTATCTCGCAATTTTTGTAGGCCAGAAATCTGGATACAGCAAACTGGGATCTCTGCTCAGGATCTCACACTACTGAAATCAGAGCTGGGGTCTCAGCTTATTTATGTTGTTGGAAGAATTCAGTTCTATGCAGTTGTAACGCTGAGGTCCCCAAACTCTTGCTAGCCATTAGCTGAGGACCATCTCAGTTTCTGGAAGTGCTGACAATTCCTTGCCATGTAATCCTCTTATGGGCCCTCTCACAACACGCCAGCCTAGTTCTTTGGGCTCACAGGAGAATCTCTGCTGCTTCAAATTTCTGATTTTAAAGGATTTAATTTAAAGAATTACAATTTCTCATTTTAAAGGATTAAGTTTGACCTACCCACAATAATCTCCCTTTAGATTGATTCAAAATCTGCTGACTTAAGTGCCTTAATTATATTTGCAACATCTCTTTGCCTTTGTCATATAGAAAACCTAACTATATTAATAAAATCTATCATATTCACAGTCCTGACCAATTGAAAGTGAGGGGAATTTTACAGGGTGTATGTACCAGGGGGCAGGAATCCTTGGAGACCATCTTAGAATTCTGCCTACCACATCCGTATTTTGCACTGAAGCTTTAACATATTAATAATTATCATTTTAAATTTCCTGTCAGATAATTTCAACGTTTGGATTATCTCTGAGTCTACTTTTGTTGGCTCATCTCTCAAACAGTGGATTGTTTTTCCTTGTTCTTTTGTATGTTCTTTAATATTTTATTGGATACTGGACATTATGTGTAGGATAGTAGAGACTAAGGAAATTGTATTTGTGCCTGGGAATGTACACTTCTTCTCTTTCTAGGCCATTAACATGTGGGATTGAATCAATCTTGTCAGAAATTGAGCTGGTTTTGGGTTTTGCTGCTGTTGTTACCTGCAGTGCACCACCAGCTTCACATTCTCTTTAGTGTTACCTTGTTTAGAGTGGGTCCTGAATTATTGGAAAGATTGTTATTGCTTCACCCTCAACTTCAGACCTATATCAAGGGCTAATGTACAAAGAAGTTCTCCCTTCACATTCTTATCTCTTCTTCAGTAGTAATCTATTCTTGTTTGCTTTTCAGGGATTGCTAGCCTGGTTATGGGATTCAGAGCATTTTCTCTTGTCCTAATTAACTTCAGTCTTAAGAAAGCCCTGACCATGGGTGTTGGGGTAGATATTTCTCAATGTTCATGCTTCTTCTCTGTTGGTAGGAGACCTCAGATGGTCTCATCTCAGGACAGTTTCTTTCTATCCCTGTCTCTCCTCCAGAGATAAAAGCTTTTTACTTTTCTCTTCTTTCAACCAGGATAGGTCTTCACTTGAGCTCTGGGGGTGTAAAAAAAAGTCTGCTGAAGTTCATACAGCAGCTTAAGGCTTTTGTTCCTCAGGAGAGAAGAGTCTGGTAGGTTTTAAGATGTTCCCAAAGCAGTAGTTGCTTCCATCCTTCAGGCCCGTACCACCAAGGGAGGATATCTCCAGTCTCCCACTCTGTCCTCCATCATTCTCATGGGTATCTAGAAGAAACCCATGGAGAGGAGTCTGTGTGTGGATGTGTCTGTGTCCCCTGGAGGTTCCTATACTCACATTCCTTTGCCCTTTAGCAATTTCTTAAAAATTTTTGGTGAATTCCTCTTACCTGCTTGTGTGGTGCTCAGCATCTCTTTTCCTCATACTCTGCAACTGGGAGATGCCTTAGTACCATCTCTCCTTGAGGGAGGCTATCTTTCCTTAGATTTCAGGCTACTTGTTTGCCCTATTACCTCAGTTCTCTTGTGGTTTCAAGAAAATAAATGATTTTGTAGATTCTCTAGCTTTTTGTTTTTGTCAGGGTAAAAGCAACATTCTTTCCAACTTTGTACATCTCAGCCAGAAGCAGAACTCCTTCCAACTTTAAATCTAAATTATGGAAACTAAAAATTCTCCCCATGACTTTTTCTAAAAGGTAGGAAAAATTCGAAGTAGAACGGTCATATCTACTATAGTAGTCACCTATATAGATAGTCACCTCTGCTTTCTCCTGTTTCTTATATCTTGCAATTGTCTTTATCACCAGCCTAACATTGCTCCAACTATAAGACTCAGTCTCCCTCCTTGGGTTCCCATCTCCAAAGTAAGCGTTAAATACAAAATGATTGCATATTGTTGAACTTTTACTAAATATTTTCAGTTTATATTGAGAAGTCACATCAAAAATAATTTAAAGTAACATAGTCTAAAATTCTTGACCCTTCCCATCTTATCACTTCTTATTGGCCCTTTATCTCCCACAGAGCCTATATTCATTATTTCACTGCATCCTCTCTCATTTTATTTTTATTATGTCTTCACCTCTTTTATCTCAGAAATTCCAAAGTTCTTTCTCTACTATGAAGAGCAAATCAACTCCCTGCAACCTTCCAACTATGTATATCCAAACCCATTGAAGCATTCCACAGATAAAACATGGCTTTATTTTATAGGACATTTTCTCACTAGAAGAGAATACATTCATAGAAGGACAAACATTATTTCCATTTGCACTTGCATCTAGTTTATGAACCCAAAGCCCACCATGAATGTAGAGAGTACAAAGAGCCCAGGTTAAAACGATTTTTTCTCTATGGGACCTGACTCATAAGGTTTATTCCATGATACGATCAGGGCAAAAAGGAATGGATATCACAAGCTCCGGTATAGATTTGAGATCATGATTTGACTAAAGGTCTAACTTCATGAGAGTTTAAAGAAGCCTACTTCTCTTGGGTATGACATGATCTTGTTGAGTTATCATGTTGACACGTGAAATTCAACATATTCATATTATTCAGGTTAATAAAAACAGAAAATTAACACAAGGTTGTTGTTATAGCAGAAACATTAAACTTCTTAATAACCAGCTACATTCTCTATTAATACTGTATGAGTTGTCTCTCCATTTCTGTTCTTAACTCAGTGTTCATAGTTTATCATTCATTCTTTCTTTCAATCTACCTTGTACTGGCTATTATGGAATATAAAATTGATAGAATACATAGTTCTTTGTCTCAAAATCCTCATATTTGCTTAAATTCTGCCTTCTTTTGCTCTGGCATCAAAGTATCTAACAACTAAGTGTTTAGAAAAGAATGGGAATGGGGGTAAGAAGGCTTATGGGCTATGACTATTTCTGCCTGCTTTGAGCAATCCCCAATAAGATTTCATAGAGAACAAGATAGTTCCAAAAATCCAACATGGAGAACAAACATGGCAGCTAAGTTATTGATATTTGAAAACCAACATCAGTTTTTATTCTGTCACAGAACTAACTCATAACCTAAAGCAGAGAGAGGAGTAAAGACCATTTATTCCACTGTGTGCCACTGCTAGTAAATTCACATTTTTCAAGTCAGTTATAATTTCAGAACCTTAGTAAATTATTTATTCTAGACATATCCTGAGCCCAGTGCCTGTAAGGCTTATGATTGTTCAAGGGTAATCATACGTTTGTAGTCAAGTTCCTTTGTTAGCCATGGCAATTCACCCCGTATTCTGCATGATTCATCCTACATTCTGTTTCTATACAACTGTTTGTAAAATGAAACCTGCACTTTTTGCTTATGTACCTCACACATTAAAATCATTATTTTTTAGATATAAGGGCATATGGCAATGATGAAGGATCTTTCTCCAACTTGACTTTGTGAAAATTATTTCTCCTTTAAACAGATTTATAAAACCTTGGACGTTCATGTGACGTTGGTTGGTCTTGAGACGTGGACAAATGGAGATAAAATAGAAATAGATTCAAATATAAAAACTACCTTATTGCGTTTTTCAGCTTGGCAGGAAATAATCCTTAAAAAAAGGAAGAATTTTGATCATGTTGTATTACTCAGGTATGTAACTGTTCTTTTTTCCCGCCTGCCTTAGGTGGATCATTAAAAAGAAAACAAAACAAATGAACAACCAAAATACTTTTAAAGCATTTGACTTTTGGATGGAACACAGGGACTAAATGTTATGTCTAGCTGTACAGAAAATTTCCAGATGAACTTTTTAATAATCAGTCTTTCTAATAGTGGTTACTATTAAAAAGGAAAAATGTGATAGATTCATATTCCTGGACAGGGTTGAAAATGTCATTAGGTAAGCAAAGCACTTTTAGATTCCATTTACTTTACCTGTCAGCACTCAACACTAGTTCCCTTCAGCCTGCCATGCCATGTCATTCTAATGCTCCACCAGAACCCACCTTTCCTTGGAAGCACCTCATTCTCCGGACACTTTTCCTCAACAAAGTGTGCTCATCCAATGACCAGTGCTTCAAGAGCATCTTCTCTACTATTCAAGATGACAGACAACTAATCTGATAAATTAAGCCTGCCAAGTCTTTACTATTCTTAAGTAAAGGTTTGTATTTATCTAGAATACTAGGTCATTAATTCCTAAAAGGAGAGGGGGCATTTTTTTCATTCTTATGATTCAAAATACCTAGCACACTACTCAGCCTGTGGGGAAATGACAAATAATTGTGGAGCTGAACTAACTTTAATCTTGTGTCTCGCATAGTCCTGTTATCGTAAGGAATGTTAAGTTATGGAAGAACAACTTTGAAGCAATGAAGTCTTAGCATCTCTTCTGATGCCCTTAAATTCACTACATAAGAGTGGTACCCACTTTACCTACTTCATCTACCTACAATACCAGTGCTTTTCCTAATATCTGCAAACACAGTCTGCAAATGTACTTTCTAGTGTCATCTAAATGTTAACTTTCAGTCTGAATTCAGAACTGTGGACCTTCCAAAGTCTGAAGTCAAAGGTCAGGTCCAGTTCTTTGGCAGATTGATGAGAGTAAACCAGACCTCCAAAGTAATATAGTTTCTGGTTTTCATATCTGGGATGGCCCATAGCACGTATCTCCAGGGGGACAGTTATACCTGGCTTGGGCTTTGATTTTCATACACTAGCATGCTACAAAATTATGGGGGGCAAAATAAAGTATCACCATAACCTTCACAGTGGGCAAGATTAGCCCATTTGCCTATTCCTTGGACATGTATTTTAAAATAACAAATTAGTCTAAAAATATTTAAGTGAGTGTAAGGGAAAAATCTTTTGTTTCCACAAATGTCTCTTATTCTGAGCAATACTTCTCACACCAATAGTATGTCTGAAAATAGAGAAATGAGCGGAAAGTGCTACTAAATGTCTAACTGGGCATTATATTTGGGACTTCTTATGTGTTTAGTTTCTTGGATGTCATCCCTTCTGTATTTACATAAATCCAGAAGTGATGAGATGGAATATATGGCATTATCATGATGTGACTTTGGTTTTAAGTGACCACTAGCAAAGTCAGAATCCAGATTGTGCTTCCTCTGGTGCTTCATCTCCTTGGTGGTATTCTCCCAAGATCTCAAGTCTGGGAAGACCAGAATTCCTCCTCCAATATGCATAGTCAAATACTGAGAGTTTAAAATGTATGAACTGGAACATCTCAACAGTAAAGAAAGAAATAGAACATGTCTTTTAGCAAAAGAGCTAAAGACTGAAAAGAGTTGTCTAACCTGACCAACTTCTTATACTTGAATCCTCTCTCGTATACTTAAGTGTGGTCCTCCAGCTGGTGATAGTTCTCTTTAAAGTGGTCTAACTCTAAATGTTCTTGAAAGCACATCAAATCTGGATGTCTTTAACATGCACATCTACATCTGTCTTTTTAGGTAATCTGGATATAGTCTTATTTTTGCGTGACAACTCTTTTAACTGTTTGACTATAGCTATCAAATCTTCCATGAGTTTCTATGGTTGATTAATTTTCAACCACAGCTAATTAATCATGGTGTTGAGTCCATTCACTATGTTGCATTTTCTCCTCTGGACACTTTTTAATTTAATTTAATTTAATTTTTTAAATCTTTTAAGTGGTTTTCTCCAAAGTTGAGTGTAAGGTAAACTAAAGTCAAGTAAAATGAGACTCTGACATTAGTTTTTAGTTTTTTTAAGAAAGTACATTTTACGATTTCAAGTTAAGATTGCACTGACTTTTTCAATGACTCCAATATACCACAGGTTTAAAATGAGTTTAATATCAGTCCATTCCAGAACTCCAGAAAAAAGAAAAGATACTTTCAGGTGCAAAGGCACTAGCTGTGTGGGCGTTCGCTGCAATTCAACCTTTGTGTTAATTAAACAACTACCTCAGATTAAAGAATGCATTTGCATCTTGTTATAGTGGGAAGTGGATCTACACACATGGGCAAGGAACTTCCTATCCAGGGGGCATGTGCCTGCCCTATTATTCCTCCAGTATCGTTAAGGTGGGATGTGTTTTATTTATGTTATATTACTTAATCAAAAAGTTTCCACTAAATTTCTGTAGTTTTTTGTGTCCTATTGAAAGGGACCATGTATGCATTCTGTCATCTATTCCTACCAAGATATGTCATGATGAAACTGTCACATTTCCTTTATTAAATGAGAAGTGTTTTATAAAAACTATAGATGAATAATGAAGGTAAACTAGAGTTTAAAAGAACATCATATGGGGTTGGTCCCGTGGCTGAGTGGTTCAAGTTCCATGACCTCCACTTTGGTAACCCCAGTTCGTGGGTTCAGATCCCAGGCATAGACCTACTCCGCTCATCAGCCATGCTATGGAGGCACCCCACATACAAAATAGAGGAAGATTAGCAATGGATGTTAGCTCAGGGTGAATTTTCCTCACCAAAAGAAAGAACATCACATAAAATTAACATACAAGGATTAGGAAAACTCATTTGCATATTAAATATAGTTATTTATGAAGACATATAAAATACACAAAACTTCACGGCCAACTTAGCAAGTGAGGATTATTGTTCTTCTGCTGGAAACAAAGTACACATACCATTTAAAATATCATATCAGCACAGCCTTGCAGTTCATTTTCAGAACTCATAAGATCTTCAAACTGCTGATGCCACTTATTTATCTGATCCTTCCCAAGTCACTAAGATTTTAGTAAATGCTGTCCAAGTAATCCTATCTAAGAAATTCTTGAAAATATTAGGATTCAGATTTATTTCATTTAATATCTCTGCCTAGTTGTTGATATGCTCAGCCCAGTATAGTCAGACCTTAAAATTAAAAGCTAGTACTTATTAAAATGACCACATGACCTATTTATTATATGATTCTTTTTGTGGTTTTGTCTTTGTCTATGGTATTTTAATAATATAACTTTTGCATAATAGTCATCCTAATCTAATATAGGTGGTCACTATGGCAATTATGATATTATAACCCATCCAGGAAACATTTTTAACTTCAACTGAGTAAAATGAAATTACCAAATTAGGGCTATTTCACCTTTGCAGTAACCTGATATCCAATTTCTCTTTGAAAGTTAATTTTTTTCATTAATATTGAGATTAAAGCATGAAATGGGGCTACAATCAGAGGTGACAATCAGCTCTGCCTTGGATTTTACACCACTGACCTGGTTTTCTTCGCAGTGGAAGCTCCCTCCTCATGATTGCTTAGCTTTATTGTGCAGGGTGAGGTTATACACTGCAAACATGAACCGTGCATATTTTAATTTTTACCACTCTTGAATGTCTGGTATATATAAGACACTCAATAAGGTTTATTCTATTGAATAGTATGTTAGGTAATAATTTTTAGCTACTTGTAAGAATGAGTCTATATAAATGCACCAATAACTAGTTCTGTGCCACAAAAAAGAATTTTTCAAAATATTAGAGTTAGAGCCACTCAAAAGGTCATTTATCCAACCTCATTATATAATTAAGGAAACTCAAGGGCAGGATGGGGAGGTGATTAAGTCCATGGCCTCTCGAATAAGTACTAGTTAACCAGAAAGTAGAAACCAGGTCTCAACCACTAGTTCAAAGCACTATGTACTACACTGTGCTATCTTACAGAAATTTCTAATGCACTTCTTTTTTTTTTTGGCATCAGGATCTTTTACCTGACCTAAATGTAGTTGCAAGCAGAATGGCACATCAGCTGGGGCATAATCTTGGGATGCAGCATGATGATTACCCGTGTACCTGTACTTTGGGAAGATGCGTGATGGATAGTAGTATAAGGTGAGGCTCAAATGATATAGAGAATACGTTTAAATATTTGGGAGTGGCTGTTGATTAAAACACCATATTGTAGGGATATATTGTTATATATATTTTTCCTAATATACTCCAGGAGGTCTATTACAAAACCAGGCATGGTGGGGAGTTGCCGTTTTGGAACCAAGTCTTATCAGTTGATAGTGTCTCTCCTACTGATGTGGTGAGAGAAATTCTAAAACTCCATCTCACCATATTGCAAAAATGCACAACGATCAATTAGTGATTATACTAGGGCTCTCAGAAGAGGAGTACACTCTACATGCCTTGTTCTGTTGTCTTTGCTATAAACTATAATTTTCTCCTTTAAATCTTTACTCAAATATCATTCTCAGCAAAGCTTTCTCCAGCTACCTCATCCAATTTTTCAATCCTGTCCGCTTACACACATACCCGGGCATTATCCATCACTTCCCCCTTTGCCTTCTTTCCCCTCCTTAGTACTAATCACTATCTAATATAGTCTATGTTTTACACATTCAGCTTATTTATTCTTCTACTCCTCTACTAGAATATAAGCCTCATGAAGTCAGAGGGTTTTGTCTGTTTTGTTGACTGTTACATCATCATTGTCTAGAAGAGTCCCAGACACATACTAGGTACTCCATAAATAGTTACAGAATGAATGTCCAGCACCGCCCCACCCCCACCATACTGTGAATTACCTGCAAGCAAGGCCTTAGCCTTGCACATCCTTGAATTCCTTCATGTACGTGTATGTGAAGTGGGAACACATAGTACACTGTATATAGTAAGAAAAGTGTTTGCTGATGATGATCAGGGCTTCTATATATTAATTAAATGACGTAAAGTAGCTGAAGCACCCAAGCCTAGTGCCTGGCACAGAGTAAGAAATCAGTAATTGATATCTAATTTTACATCATTATCCACATAATTAGTAATATTTCCTCAGGGTCCCATGATCCCCATGCAACATATTCAGGTCTCTAAAATCCATCTGTATCCAATCATTGTGTTAATAATAATGGCGAGGGAGTCAAAGACAAAAGGAAGATAGAAGGGAGGTGAATTTCAGTTTTTTTTAACATTTAACTTCCTTTTAGAAGTATATCACATTCCTAGGATGTGTAAGATATTATTAAATAAATAGTTTGTTTCAACAAATGTTTATAGAGAGCTACTCTGTGCCAGGCATTGTGTTAACTAGGGCTTATTTTTTAAAAAATTGAACATGACACAGTCCCTGCCTTGAGAAGCTTGTTGTCTTGCATGATGATAAACAAATACATAGACTATTTCAAGAGGGACAAATAGGAAGTGATACAGAAGCAACAAGCACAATCAGTCTAAACTGTGGGCTTCAGGGGACTTTCTGGAGGACACATAGTCAGAGTATTTTCACTAAAACAGGATGTATTGGCTGTGTTTCAATAAGTCATTTTCTATACTAAAAAGCCCAGATATTACTCTGCTATAACAGTAAGACAAGAGTAGGAGAAGTAAATGGACTCTTTAGAGTTCACCATTTATATCTGTTGTTTCTAAATTCTTCATAAAACTTTCACAGCTGCTCTACCAGTATGCATTGATATGATTATTCTTTATTTTTAACTTGTCCTATCTCTAGCATTCCTGCGCTAAAATTCAGTAAATGCAGCAGAACCCAGTACCTGCAATATCTGAAGGACTATAAACCAACATGCATGTTCAATAGTCCACCTTCTGTTAAGTTAAGTGATTTCCCATATTGTGGGAACAAGAAGTTGGAGGAGGGAGAAGAGTGTGATTGTGGCCCTGTTCAGGTATTCGCAAATGATGTTGTCTTTAAATTACAAAGCTTATGCTCAGCTATAACCTAGGAGGGACATAGCTATTAATCAACCATAGTATTCCTTGTAAAGTTTTAAAAGCTGTGCTTTCTTTTTTTCTCATTTGAAAACAAGCCTCAGTGCAAGGCTTCTTACCAAGTCATGGATCACATCTCACGATCTTGCTGGAGGTCCACAGTATCACATTTGCCTGGTTTATATGTTAATTGGCTCTTCTGTGAGAAGACCCCACAGGTGTCATTCGGTCTCATCTCTCATGCACAGAGGGAATCTGTTCTACAAAATCCCTCACAGTCAGTCAGTTGAGTTTATCTCAGGGCCTTAGAAGGCTAGTCTGTATCCCAGTCAGACGATTCATGTTATAGAAATCTCTGTCTTGATGGTGCAGAAGCCTTCTAGCCTTTCACATATTTATTGCAGTCTTGGTCTCTGGAACATTTAGAATAAACATTTGAGGCAAATTTTAAAGTAATTCTTAATCTGTGTTTCTCCAAGATAGAAGCTGTTTCTTTCACGAGCTCGTCATTATAGGTATGAGTCTTAGACAACTACTTCAGAAATCACCCCGTATATATAAATCACCTGGGGGTGTTGTTAAACTGTGGATCATGATTCAGTAGGTCTGAACTGGGGCTGAGATCCTTCATTCCTACCCACCTGCAAGGTTAGGCTGATGCTGCTGGTCCCAGGATCACATTTTCATTATCTACACCCTAAACACTGCACAATTCAAAAGAAATCTAATAAGATGGTGATTAAGAGACTCCATGATCGGAGTGGGCACAGTGCCATGTCCAGGGGTTACAACATCAAATGTCTCAGATTAAATGTGAGAAGAGGCTCTTAACTTCAGAAATTGATGCTTTTGCCCACGCACATTCCTTGGAATGGTTCTACAGTTTTGTTGTAACACAAGAAGTGCCTTATATGACAGGATGCAGACAACATTTTGCAGTTTTAATTTTGTTTGAGCAGATAGGGCCTAAGTGTCCATTCTGCAGTTATTATCTAATGATGCATTAAAAAAACAAAGGCCCATCTGAAATAGTTGGCACCTTGAGAAAAATGTAAAACCAGACCTTCAGAAGTTGTATTATCTCACATCAAACCTTTAGTATAGAGAAGCAGCAGGACCCTTCCAGAGAACAGAAGTCTTCCAGAGAACAGAAGGTCACAAACTTTGGGCTTTGTAGGCTGCCAGTGAGGATTCATTAGCTGTAGAGTACTGAACAGCCATATGGGAAGGAAACAAAGTCAAGTCCCCAACAACAACGGCAAGGAATAGTCTTTATATACATGTCATAGCCAAGGATCATGCATTCGTGTTAACTCTGGAAGACAGGAAATGCTAAATTATACAGAAGCACAACTAATTAACTCTTCAAACAGGAGCCAACTACAAGCAATTTCTGATCTTTAATTTTTGATTATTGCCAGGAGTGCACTAATCCTTGCTGTGATGCAGACAAATGTGTGTTGAAGCCAGGATTTAGTTGTGCAGAGGAAGAATGCTGTGAATCTTGTCAGGTAAGATTCTTTGCTAGAACTGGGTTTCTCTGTTTTCAGTCTATTAAGTGTACATGTGACCAGAGTTGTCTGATCACTGAATGACCTTATGTCACTAATCCCAGATTGGGGCTAGGCTTTCTCATACCCAATAGAGCCTCTTATGAGATGCTCTGACATCTAAGCATGGGACAGTGCTATGTTCTGGGGGGTGGAGAAGTGGGTAAGCAGTGCTTGTTGTTTTAGGAGTGGTCTTATATGACTAGCATTATTTTTGTTCCATTGTAAAGCATTACCAACATATTTAACCTGAGCTGGGATTGTGGGAGGCAATTGGCACCCCAACAACAGTGAAATGAAAGGGAAAAGGATTGTACTGGAATTAGAAAGTGATAGTGACTAGTACATGGAGATATATTCCTAGGAAAGACAACCAGAAGTCCAAATGACTTTGTCCAAGGGTTTATTGACGCTTCTTTCATCCCACTAGATTGTGAACTCACAAAGGAAAAGAAGCATGTCTTATACATTTTCAAATACTTCCAGAACCCAGCACAATTAAATGCATACTGAATGGCTGAATAAGAAACTATTTCCATGGAGTTCCCTTAAGCAATGAAAGCCAGGGTATTTTTCTAGTTCATATGGAGAGATCTCATTTCTTGGGAGTAGAGATTCCTCATTATAGATAGGCAAGTGTTCCCAGTTGTGTAGAGAGGCAGGAGGAAAGGGATGTGCTGGAACAAGGGATGAAGAAGACGAGATAAACAGAACACGTATCCATTTCTCCATTTTATGTCCATTCCAACTCTGTCTAATGCTCTTCTAATACCGAATTTCAAAAACACTATCTTGTCATTCCTAAAATTATGTAAAAGTCAAGACATTTAAAAATGATAATAGTTCTCAGTGGAATGGAGAAGGAAGTCATGATCCATCTTTAAAACCTTTTTTAGGTAAATTAAATGGGCGGGCCTTCCTCCTGCTTACTGAATCTTATCTACCTAAACGTGTCCAAGATTCAGTCTCTTTGTTTTTCTTCAACAGATGAAAAAAGCAGGGTCCATATGCAGACCAGCAAAAGATGAATGTGATTTTCCTGAATTTTGTACTGGCCACTCTTCTGAGTGTCCTAAGGACCAATTCCAAGTAAATGGATTTCCTTGCAAGAATGAAAAAGGCTACTGCTTCATGGGGAAATGTCCCACCCGGGATGATCAGTGTTCTGAATTGTTTGATGATGGTGAGAGGCAATTAACAGTGAAAGATTGATAAAGATAATAGCCACTCTGTCTATGTTATTGTCCTGTAGGAACTTGGGGGCAAGACTGAAGACAAAGCCATTTGTGGCACTCTTCCAAGATATTACCTTGCATCTCTCTGGATATTCCCTTTAATATTAAGCGATATTACCTCTAATATTCATTGATTAGCTCAGTATGGGGGTTAAGGTATGTTTGCCACTTTTTTACATCCATACGTCTTCCTAAAATATCCTCCTGAGGCAATAAGATAGTTTTTAATTATTTATTTATCCCACCCTGCTTCACCACTACATGATACTGAAATTTCAATTACATTCGAAAGTAAGGTATTTTATGATTCATAATATTTATGCTTTCATTGTTTTACTTTTATCATACCATTTTGGATCCCAGAGGCAAAAGACAGTCCTGATATCTGCTACAAGATGAATAAAAAAGGAAATAAATTTGGATACTGCAAGAACAAAAAAAATAAATTAATACCCTGTGAAGAGAAGTAAGTGCCTTATAAAGAAAAGTAAGTGTCCTCAAAGAGTGTTTCGCAAAATCAGAACAAGTCTTATTCTGACAGCTGCTACCCTCTTTTAACTGAAGAGATAGGAGGAGAGAGAGCACACATCTCTGGCAGTGTGAGCTGGCATTTATGTACTGTATGTATTTGCTGAAGGTCATGGAATATACGGGAGGAAAGAAAGAAAAGATTTAAGATTCTTAGGAAAGAAAGGGAGAAAAAGAAGCTATGAAAAAAGAGAAAGGAGTAAACAGGAGGAGGGGGAAAATAATTAGAAAAAGTAAAAAAAGAAAGAGAGAAGGAAAGAAGAGAAGCCATAAAAAAAAAAAAAAAAAGAAAGGTAGAAGTTGAAATTGGGAGAATGAGAGAATTGGAAGTTAGATCTGATTTTAAAAATCATGAGCTGAGACACACTTCCCAGATTTGTTTATGACATTTGGCAAGGCATTTTGTGTGTCACAAAACAGGATTTGAACTCAAAATAACAAGAAAACCCTACAGTCAAGCTCAACTCTGCTCCTAAATATGTTAGGTGCAAATGGGCAGTCACCTAACTTTCTTACATCCAATTGCTGTCTGATCTGTAAAACGAGGGTTATAATGATAGAAACCTCCGAAGTTTGTTGTGAAAATCAACAGATGTGCTCCATATAAGAAAAGATAAGATAAATCTTAGTGTCCTGATTAAAGTTTTGCTAATTTAAATTACTAATAAGAAATATTCTTCTGTAAACTTGAGGTAATATTGATTTGTGAGAATCACAGAGATATCATAAAGAAATACAATCACTTTACATCTTCATCTACTCATCTCAGTTCCCAGGGTCAGGACTTTGACGCCCAACGGTTTACCCTGACGCTCCTGGCCTCTCTGCAGCCTGCTGACAAGGCTGGGTCTAGGAAAAGTGACCAGACCACTTCACTGGCAACACAGTCTCTCAAGTTCTTTTTCTGGTTCTGAGTCTGAGAATCTCTCTTTTTCTTTCAGAGATGTCAAATGTGGAAAGTTATACTGCACTGGAGGGAAACCGTCATCTCTCCTTGGAGAAGAAAAGATCTATCACCTTAAAAAATCTCCAAAGCAGAATTTCTCCATTGACTGCAAAACCTTTTTTTTATATCATAATTCTAAAGATTTTGGCCTGGTTGCTCCTGGAACAAAATGTGGAGATGAAATGGTAAGATGAACACCCTTTGTTTTATTAAAACTTTTTGGTTCAGCCACTTTAAAACATCATTGGATCCTATCACTGGTTCCAGAGGGCCCAATATGGGACAGCAGAAAAAAAATGACAACTTGTTTTATTAGGCAGAGTAGCAATGACACTGTAATAAATGTTCATTTTGACTAATCTTTGTTATACAAAATGATATGTAAATGTTATAAATATGCTTAATTTTTACAATAGACATCTAATGAAATTATAGATGCAATTTTTTGAATTAATTTGTCAGTGAAGTACCTATACATTCTTCATTTAGCTCTTCACTCAACCATATTTACTGGGCACATACTATGGTGCCAGTAACTGTACATAGACAATGTAAAGATGAGTGTTTTTGACAATTTCATAGATTAATTAAATCTATCATTACAATCCAACATAAGTGTTTTCATAGTGGTGTGACCAATGTGTATTTGAGTCCAAAGGAAGAAGTGACTGGCTTTATTTCAGAATATGGAATAGCACCATATGATGCCATTAAATGAGTGATGTTTCAGCTTTGACTTGTCGAACAACAATTTTCAACACACAGAAAATTGAGAAAAGGCTTTTTAGAAAGAAATACTTGCATAATATGCAAAGATATGAAACATATGGCTAGTCAGGTAACTGAGAATTTTAGGGTGAAATGGCCAAAAAATGAAGTTGAACAGGTAGAATCAGGCCAGATTGGAAAGTGTATATCATTTCAAGATAAAAACTTTAGAATGTGTACTAAAAACAACAGCTAGCTCATCAAAGTTTATAAACACAAGAATATATGGAAAACATATTTTATTTAAAAATTAGCTATTCTGAATTGAATAGTTTGTGGATATGGCTTCTTCTTTCTCTTTCTATGTTAACCACATACAAATATTACAGTGTAATTCATATAATGTGATAGAGAAATAAATTGGAAAACAAAAACTGAGAATGCAAAGAAAGAAATTAGAATTTAACAATTTAATAGACCTATATTTCAAGTCCAAATATTTAACTATGCAGTTTCCCATTAAAATGGCTAAATAAATATCAAAATGGTGAGGAATCTCTATTTGTGAAAATTTAGGTATGTGTCCAACACACATTAGAAAGTTCAAGGACTTACAACAAGATAGAGTGTTATGAGACATCAGGTTGAAGAAAATACCAAACAATTTTCTATTCACTTCAGTAAGGAAAATCAGCCAGAGGTGCAAAGCGAAAGTATAACATCACCTTCATAGAACTCTATTAAGAGTGGCAGAGATTGAACAAAGGGGTTGAAAAGGGAGCAGTTTTTAGGAACACATCTTGATCTTATAAGCATGTTGTGACCATGTACTACCACGTAGAGTACCTATTCTTTCAAGAGAAGTCTTAGTACAGAGGCACAGTAATCACAATGGTGCCAATTATTGAATCAGTTCATAATGAGGAAATTCATGCACAGCAAATACCAGTCTACAGAGGTATCACAAAGATACTAGTTACAGAATTTTTCATTTAATTTTTTACATTGACCTACTATTTTTAAACATGAGGAACTTAAAATGTTTTAAAAACATTCTACTTTGTCTTAGTAGGTATTCTATCTGAGTAAATTTTAATTTGGCATGGGAAAAGAACATGGGAAAAGAAGGCAAACATCTTTCATTGCCCCTGGGTGCCCTTTTTCATAATTATACTACAGACCTTTCAACATAGATAAGAAAAAGAAAAGAAAAGGAAAAGAAAGAAAAGAGAAAGGAAGAGAGGAGGATAGTAAAGTGGAGAGGGAAGAAGAGTAGAAGGGAGCAAATTAGTTAATCCATTCTCTGGCACAGAGGAATTGCTTCAAAACTGTCTCTGTAGTTATCTCTTATTATAAACATACAAAAATGTCAAACTCAAAATGTGAAACATCTCAATATTTCCCTTTATTTGAGCCTGAAATACTTGAAGAGAGATCTACATCGGTTTTAAAACAGTCCCCCAGTGTTCAATCATGTATATAGAAAATCCATTATGTAAGGATAAACAAAGAGGACAAACCAAAACAGACACAAAGGAACCCAACAGTGTGGACAAAGGAGACCAATCTGAGGAATCATAGATGATAGTGCCCTGTGAAACAGATATACATTAAAACAGAGGGAAATCCTGTAGAAAAAAGATAAATTTACATTTTTATAATATTTAAAAAGATAAATCTACAAAAAATGGTATAATTTGAAAACAAGAAGCATTGTCTTCAAAGTACAAAATAAATCATGATTGCTGGCTTATATGTAATTTGGGCAGTAGGTCATAGAATAGATACCACAAAAAAGTAGTAAATTAGAATCTAAACTTCTTAACACAGAAGAATAAGATAAAGGAATTTTTTAAAAATAGAATAAAATGATTAAAAGCTGTAAAAACAGCTCTAAGAAATCTGATACAGATTTAACAGAAATTACAGATAGAGAAAATAGAATCGAGGTAAAAATATAATTAGGGAAATAATAATGAAAAATGTTCCTGAGCCGAAGGATGCATAAAATAAAAACTCAGTACCAGGAAAAATTCTTAGAAAGAGATGAGCATTTAGAACTACCCTGAACTATACCATGAAGTCAACAATAAAGAAAATGCTCTATAAGCACAAAAGAAGGTAAGCATCACTTTTCAACCAGAAAATTATCAGGTCTCTATCATGTTTATCGCCAACAAAAAATACCAGAAAATAATAGAAAGTCTAGAGAGCTTTAAGGAATGGAAATATTGGGATCCTAAAACCATACATACAGCCAAGTTATTATTCAGGACTTAAAGCAATAGAATGACACCCTCACATACCTTATTACTAAGAAAATATACAGCAAATTATACAGCATTTATTTTCTGTAGAGAAAAATAGTCAAGAAAGTACTCCAGCAAAGTGGGAAATGAATTTAAATTGAAAAGTTAAAATGAAAAGATAGGATATTAAAGAAGTAGTTGCAAGCAAAAAATTCTATAACTCTTGTGAGTAAATTATAGTTATCTATTATTAATATATTTATTATGAGAATTTTAAAAATATCTTGAATAGCAGTGAATAATAGCAATTTTTGCAAATCTGAAATCTCCACTTTCTCAAACAAAAAGAACTGAGAAGAAGAAGAAGGAAGTAAAAATGTGACAAATGCTTGATTTTACTTAAGGAGGAGTTAATGCTTATTTGGTCTGGAACATAATGGAGTGATTTAGATTCAAATATTTTAATGTAATTGAATCAATGTTTAGAAAATAGAATATATAGCTTTCAAGTTAGAAAAAATTGTGGAAAAAAGTGATAAATATAAAAAAGGTAACTTATAATGTCTAACATTAGAAATCATATAATAAGATGAAAGAAGTGGGATTAAACATATAATGACAAATAGGAATGGATTAAAATTTCCCTATTTCAGATTTTAAAATAATCTTTGAACTGGTAGCAACAAAGAACTTCCAGGCAGTGACATCAGCAAGATGGTGAAATAGGAGGTCCCCTACTCATATGTCCCCACAGCAACAATAATTTAGCAGCCATCCATGGAAAAAGTCCCTTTGTAGGAGCTTTGAAATCCAGGTAGGAGTTTGCAAAACCTAGGCGGAGCCCAAGATGAAAGAGGTCCATTTTGAGAAAGTAGGCCCATGCCTAGGTGCAGGTTTGTTAACCATAGTCCTAGATGCAGACCCAGAAATAACTCTCTTTCCTTGTTGACTTGGCTTGGGCCCCATTTGACCTTGGTCCTGGCACCAAAACATCTGCCACAGCATCCATCCATATCTCTGGAGGTAGACCTGCAGATCTTGGTCCAACTGTGAATCCAGAATAGGTTCTGTAACTCAGTTCCAGTCCTTCCCAAGCTCAGGCCTTCCTCCCCCGGGAATCACCAAGATAAACACCTGTCAATGCTTCCAGGGGCAGGCTTGCTGATCTGGGCCCTGGCTGTGGACACTGAAGTAGCCCTTGAATGAGTTGCAGCCCTGCTAAGCCAGTGTGTGGTGTTAGTTCTGCCCACCTAGAGACCTGCCCAGTGACCCAGCAGGAGCCCTCCCAAGGATCCAACAAGTGACATACCCATCTGTGCACCTGGTAACAAGCCTGCTATCTATGGACTCCACTGCAGATGCTGTAGTGGACCCTTGTCATGGTGCCTGTTCACTTGGCCAATGTCCTGGAGGCACTGCTGTCCACCCAGGGATCAGGCAGAATCCATGTCTGCTCAAGTCCTTAGTCACGGGACAGAAAATCATAGACTAGGCAACAGTCACATAACCTGGCTCCAATCCCATTCAACTGTAATCCTGGAGGTAATTACATCAGCCTGGGGACCCAATAGGAGGTTTTTACTTGACAAAACAGTCTGGAAAAGCTGGAAGAGATGTCTGCTCCTTGAAATGCACAGACGCCAACACAAGGCTACATGGATCATTAAAATTCAGGTAAATATGATACCACCAAAGGAAACTAATAAAGCTCCAGCAACTGACCCCAAAGAAATGGAGATCTAAGATTTGACTGAAAAAGAATTCAAAATAATTATCTTAAAGAGGCACAATAGGATGCAAGAGAACACAGACAGATGATTAAATGAAATCAAGAAAGCAATGCATGAACAAAATAAGTTTAAGAAAGAAACAGAAATCATAAAAAAGAACCAAACAGAAATCCTGGAGCTAAAAAATACAATAACAGAAATGAGAAATTCAATAGAAAGCTCCAACAGCAGACTAGATCATTCAGAAGAAAGAATCAGCAAACTTGAAGACAAGTCATTTGAAATTAGCCAGTTGGAGGAACAAAAGAAAAAAGAATGAAAAATAGTTTAAAAAGCATATGAGACTTATAGGACACAAATGAGAAAATGAATATAAGCATTATGGGAGTCTCAGAAGGATAAAAGAGAGAGAAAAGGGCATAAAGCTTATTTAAATAAATAATGGCTGAAAAATTCCCAAATATTGGGAGAGATATGGACATTCAAATTCATGAATCTCAAAGGACCTCAAGCAAGACTAATCCAAAAAGATTATTCTGCAACACATTATAACCAAAGTGTCAAATGTCAAAGACAAAGAGAAAATTTTGAAAGCAGCAAGAAAAGCGACTTATCACATACAAGGGAATGCCTATAAGATGATCAGCAAATTTCTCCACAGAAATCTTGCTGGCTAGGAGAGAATGGGATGATATACTCAAAGCGCTAAAAGAAAAAAGAACTGCTAACCAAGAATACTACAACCAGCAAAATTATCCTTCATAAAGGGAGGAGAGTTAAAGACAGTCTCAAACAAAATCTGAGGGAATTCCACCACTATCCCTACAAGAAGTGCTAAAGGGAGTTCCTTAAGCTTAAACGAAAGGATGCTAAGTAACAACATGAAAACATTTGTAGTATAATGCTCACTGGTAAAGGTAAATATAAAGTCAAATTCTGAATGCTCTAATACTGTAATGGTGGTATGTAAATCAATTTTAACTCTAATATAAACGTTAAAAGACAAGAATATAAGAATAACTATAGATACAATGATTTGGTAATGGATATACAATATAAAGAGATGTAAATTGTGACATCAACTGCATGAAATACGGGGTGAAGAGAAGTAAAAGTGTAGAGTATTTGTATGCAATTGACATTAAGTTGTTCTCATCTTAAAGTAGACTAATGCAAGTATAATATATTTTATGTAAGCCTCATGGTAACCCAGAGGGGAAAAAAACTTCTAGTAGATACTCAAACGATAAACAGAAAAGAATCAAAGCATACCATTACAAAAAATCAACAAATCACAAGGGAAGATAGCAAGAGAGGGAAAAACAACAAAGAAATTACTAAAGAGTCAGAAAACAATTAACAAAATGACAGTAGTAAATCCTTAGCTATCAATAATTACATTAAATTTAAATGGATTAACATTTAATCAAAAGACACAGAGTGACTGATAGGTTTAAAAAAAGAGAGATCCTACAATATGCTGCCTACAAGATAGATGTTATTTTTAATGACACAGATAGGCTAAAAGTAAAAGGATGAAAAAGGTATTGCATGCAAAAGGCAACCACAAGAGAACAAGAGTGGCTATCAGACAAAATATACTTTCAATCATAATCTGTTACAGAAACAAAGATCACTATATTATGATAAAGGTGTAATTCATCAAGAGGATATAACAATTGTTAAGTATATAGGCATCCAACATTGGAGAACCTAAATATACAAAGCAATTATCAACCAAACAGAAGGGAGAAATACAGTACAATAATAATAAGGGTCTTTAATATCCCACTTTCAACAACTGATAAATCATCTAAACAGAAAATCAAAAAAGAACCAGTGGGCTTGAATAACTTTATAGATCAATTGGACTTAAGATATATATACAGAATATTCCATTCAAAAGCAGCAGAATCACACATTTTTCAAGTGCACTTGGAATGTTTTCCAAGATTGATCATATTTTGGGCTACAAAGCAAGTCTTAACAAATTGAAGAAGACCACAATAATATCAAATATCTTTTCTGACCACAATAGTATGAAACTAGAAATCAGTAACAGGAGGACAATTGGAAAATTCACAAATATTTGGAAACTGAACAATATATTCTTGAACAACCAATGAATAAAGAAGAAATCAAAAGGGCATTCAAAAAGTATCTTGGACAAAAAAAAAAAAATGGAAACACAACGAAACTTACGGAATGAAGAAAAACCAGTTCAAAGACGGAACTGGATAGCAATAAAGCCTACATTAAGAAAGAAAAAAGATCACAAGTAAACAACCTAACTTTACTCCTCAGGAAACTAGGGGAAAAAAACACTAAGCCTAAAATTAGCAGAAGGAAGGAAATAACAAAGATTTATAGAGCAGAAATAAATGAAATAGAGACAAGAAAGACAATAGAAAATATCAACAAAACTAAGGATTTGGTTTTTTAGACAAAGAAAATTGACAGAACTTTAAGTAGACTGATGAAGAAAAGAAGAGAGTGGACTCAAATAATAAAATTATAAATGAAAGAGGAGATATTACAACTGATATCACAGAAATACAAAGGATCATAAGAAGATACTATGAACAATTATACAGCAACAAGCTGAATACTTAGAAGAAATGGATATATTCCGAGGAACATACAACTTACCGAGACTAATTGGTGAAGAAATAGAACATCTGAACAGAACAACGTGAGTAAGCAGATTGAATCAGTAATTGATAATCTCCCACAAGAGAAAAACCCAGAATCAGATGGCTTCACAGGTGAATTCTACCAAAAATTTAAAAAAAAATTAGTGCCATTCCTTCTCAAACTCTTTCAAAAAGTTGAAGAGGAGGGAACACTTCCAAACTCATTTTATGTGGCCAGCATTATCCTCAGATCAAAGCCAGATAAGGAAACTATAAGAAAAGAAAATTATACGCCAATATCCTTGATGAACATAGAGGCAAAAATTCTCAACAAAACACTAGCAAACTAAATTCAACAGCCCATTAAAAAGATTATACACTACAATCAAGAGGGATTTATCCATGGGATGCAAGGATGATTAGACATATACTAATCAATAAGTGTGACATAGCACATTAAGAAACTTGATATAAATAATAGAAGAAAACGTTGCAATTATAGTGGTAGAATTTTGCATAGATTAACATTTGGAGAATTAATAAAAGTATAGACATTTTAATAATTAACGAGTTTGTATATAACAATATTTGAATGCATAGTACATTATTTTCAAACATCCATCAAACATTCAAAGAGGATTTCTTCTGCCACAGAATATTCTACATGTGGTTTTTCGCAATAGAAAAAATCATGTAAATTCTGACAGCAAGTCTTTCTGATTGAGATTGGTTGCTTCATTCCTAGGTATGCAGCAATGGTGAATGTGTGAATATTGAAAAGGCCTACAATTCAACCAACTGCTCCTCTCAGTGCAATGAAAATGCTGTAAGATTTTATTCTTTTTTAAAATAATGTCTTACCAGTCATTTATTAACATAGGACTTCATTCCTGAACCTGTGTGTGTGTGTGTGTGTGTGTGTGCATGTGTGTCTGGTGATTTTTAAGTCAAATATACATTTGGGATCCATTTTTTTCATGTAACACCAATAAAATTGATCCAAAGATCCAAACCAGGTATTAAACATAGAAATTACCAGTATCACAAGTATATGTTTTATCATTGGACTGTTACTCTAGAAACCCAGTAATTTATGTGTATATGAAGTTTAAACCAAAAGTTTAAAGTTTGATCTATCATAATGTCACTTATAGTTAAGTTACATCAATGTAAACATTAGCCCAAAACTTTTGAGGAAACCACAAAAAAATTATATGGATTTTTTGCTCAGTAAACACTGTTCAATACTAGCAGTACCTAGCAGCTTGTGTTTGTGGGTAGCATCTTTCCCGAGCCCAATTAATCAGTAACACTTCAATAGAGTTGTATATGTATCAGGCACTCTTTCAAATACTTTACACATATATTAAATTTTAAAAGCTTCGTAACAGCCTTAAAAGGTGAGTATTATTTCTATACCCACTTTTACAGATGAAAAATGAGTCACACTGATCTTATGTGAAAGGAAAAGCTGAGATTTAAACAGAAAGAGTGTGTGTTCTTAACCATTATGCAATGCTCTTTGATGAACTAAACATTGTGCCATCACTTTTTTCCCATGTTAATATTATCTCATTATTACTAAGCCTAGTTAAAGTCTGCTGTTTGGTTATGATATGTCCAACTCTAGCAGGGGCTGTTCATTTAATATCAATGCCTTCTGGAAAGATAAGTCAAGTCGTCTTGTCCATCTGGTTTTGAATTTGTCAGAATCATTCTCTTGCCAAAGCCTGTCTTCAAATGTGGTTACTTCTTGCATTTTGTTTGCTTTTTTTTTTTTTCCAACATTGCTTTTGCATTGCTAAGTTGCAGTTTAGTCAATTAATCAATAAAAAGTTTGTATGTGTGTATGTATGCATCTGATGTAGAACTAGCACCAAGCTGGTGAGGTGCAAAACACAAGCTTACGGCAGGCATTTCATAAAGTTCTACGATTGACTGCTCTTCCAGGTAGATGGCCATGAGCTCGAGTGCCAGTGTGAGGAAGAACAGACACTTGTGGACTGGGAGGAAACCTTAAATGTTACCAGTGAGCATCCTACAATATCATATCTTGCATATATCAAAAGTCTAGCCAGTGAGAAAATTTTTTTCTTATTTTCCAAGTCTACTACACATATATTGTGTTTCTGTATGGATTTGTATGGTGTTTTTATTAGTTTGCATATTTAAATACCCAAATTTGAACTTACTACAATTGCTTTTTAGAATTAGCGTAAATTCTACCAGTTAAATTTAGATTAGATCTTCTAAGAACCCATAACACAACCACGCCTTTTCTGTAGTCAGTTAGTAATTAACTATCAAAGCTTTCCCTGCTGATTGTGGGTCTCTTAAACATAATGGAGTCTTGGGTGGCGTGTCAATTGCTAATACAGATGATAATTTGTATAATGTTTTGGTCTTTTACTTTATATAAAAAAAATTGAGGGGAGAGGGGATTAAAGTCCTTTAAGGAAGTGAGAAGCAGGACTATAACAGCTCAGTTAAATGTTAACATTCCACTGTCCTAAAGTTGATATTTTGGCTGAAATTCATATTTTTAATGTTGCAGATATCTCCATCCTGGTTGTTGTGCTTGTCCTGGTTATTATCAGTGTTGCGGTGGTCACATTATTAATTCGTTACCAGAACTGTATTAAGTTGAAGCAAGTTCAGAGGTATGTCTATATCTCCTATGTGTTGAAAGGGACAATTACTGAGAATATGTAAGCTTTGTGGCCATAGAGGATACTTGATGGGGTAGAAGTATAAGCCCTTTGCTGAAGACTAAGTAAGAGTAGCAGTAAGTCAAGCTTTTACATACTTTGTTCTCTTGCTAATGCTTGTCCCAAGGGCTCCCAAACCTTCTACACATTGGAATCACAGGAGATTCTTCAAAAGAATACCAATTTTGGTTCCTCCCTCAGATCTAATTTTTATACGGTGTAATCTGAGTACCAGTCTTTTAAAAATCTCCTAGATGATTTAATAGTAACCACAGGCTTATCTCATAGCTTGTGTCAATATTTAATTTCCTTCTTGATAGCACACCTGGAGATACACTGGGAGTGGAGAACAAGGGATACCTTGCTGATGAGCCCGAGACAAGGACCGAGGCAATCTTAACCAATATTCATCCCCTACATGTAAGAAAATTTCATTTGAAATAGTCAATTAATTGATTAAAAAGTAGTTGCATATGTGTTTGAAGTGGAACTAGCCCTAAGCTAAGTGAGGTGGGAGATGCAGAACAGTCTAACACGATTCCACACCAATGAAGCCTGCAATCTACAAGTGGGGAAGGAGAGGATGGCAGGACTCAAGCAAACCAAGGCACTATTTCAGAGCAGAACATATTGGTTAAATAAAATATTGATTTGTGCATTATTGGAAAAAATTTACAAACATAAACCATATTCTGGGACATAAAGAAGTCTAAATAAATGTGAAAGAATTAAAGAAAATAAAACACAAAGTATCTAATTTGTGGGAAACTAAAATTAGTAATTAAAAGAAAAATTCATAGCACTAGATGCTTATGTTAGAAAATAAAAAAGATATCAGTTCAATGACCTTAGCTTTCACTTTAAGAAACTAGAAAAAGTAAAGCAAATGAAACTCAATGAAAGTAGAGGACAGGAAAAAAGAAATATCAGATTGGTCACCAATGAAATACAAAATAGAAAAATAACAGAGAAAAATCAATGAAAGCAAAAACTACTTTTTAGAGAAGATTAATAAATCTTATAAACCTCCAGCCAGACTGATCAGAAAAAAGTGAGAGTCAGCACAGACTATCAGCTGTCAGAAAGGTAACATCACAGCAGATTATACACTTATTAAATTGACAATTGGAGAATATTATGAAAAAACATTATTTCAATATATTTGACAGTGTAATGAAATATTAAACTTTTTGGAAGTTACAAATCACCAGAGCTTACCCACAGAGAAATAGATAACCTGAATATCCCTGTAACTAATAAAGAAAAATATTATGCCCATACAGCTTTACTGATGAATTCTGTCAGTATTAATGACAAAAAATATTTAACTACAAATAATTTAATGACAAAATTACAAATTCTGTATAAACTCTTCCAGAGAGTTTATTTCTCCCATCTTCCAGAAAATGGGAGAGAATGGTTACTTCCTAACTCATTTTATGAGGACAATATATTTCTGTTACCCACCTAGACAAAGTCATTACAACAAAAAAAACTACTTGCCAATAGTTGTAGTAAACATAAGTATGAAAATTATTATTAAATTTTTGCCTGTTGAATCTCACAATATGTAAAAAGGATAATGCATTGTGACCAAGTGGGGTTTATCCCAGGAATGCAAGGCAAATTTAACATTCAAAAACTCAATCAAGCTAATTCACTGTACTATCAGACTAAAAGAGTAAAATCATGTCATCATCTCAATAGATGCTGGATAAGCATTTAAAAAAATTCTAATATCTATTCCTGGCAAAACTCAGTGAAAGAGGAATATAAAGGAACTTCCTGAAACTGATAAAAGTGATCTACTCCCCAAAATACAGCTATTATCATATTTATAGGCAAAAGACCAACTGCTTTTCCTCTAATATGAAGAACAAAGCAATGATACCCACTCCCACCACTTCTATTAAACATTTTACTGGATATTGCAGCCATTACAATAAGGCAAAAAAAAAAATTGTAAAGGAAGAGGTAAACTTTTTTTTTTCCTAAGGAAGTTTCTCCCTGAGCTAACATCTGTCCCCAAGCTTCCTCTTTTTGGTTGAGGAAGATTGTCCTTGAGCTAACATCTGTGCCAATCTTCCTCTATTTTGTATGTGGGACACCACCACAGCACAGCTGACAAGTGGTGTAGGTCTGCACCCAGGATCCAAACCCACGAACCTGGGCCACTGGAGCAGAGCATGCCAAACCTAAGCACTAGGCAATGGGGCTGGCCCTGGTAAACTCCTTTGATTTGCAGAAGACACAATCATCTGTAGAAAAATCCTATAGTGAATAAAACGAATTTCATAAGATTTCAAGATACAAATCAGCATACAAAAATCTATTGTGTTTCCATATATTAGCAATGAATAATCCAAAAAACAAAATGAAATAACAAAATAGCTTTTACAATAGCATTAAAAATATGAGATACTTAGGGGTAAATCTAACAAAAGATGTACAAGGCCTGTATGTAGAAAACTACAAAACATTGATGAGAAAAATTAAACAACACCAATAGAAATGGAGTGAAATGCATGTTCTTGAGTCAGAAAACCCACTATAGCTGGGTTGTCAAGTCTCCTCAAACAGACCTATAGATTCAAAACAATAGTAATCAAAATATCAGCAGGATTTTTGGTAAAACAAATAAATGAATTTAGCAAAGTTACAGGATAAAATGACAACAAACAAACAAATTGTATTTCTATATACTAGCAACAATGTGAAAATATAATCAAAAATATAATTTGAAATATCTCAAAAATATGAAGTATTTAGGGGTAAATATAACAAAATGTTAGCCAGAATTGTACATGAAAAATCGTAATACATTGCTGAGGAAAATTTTAAAAGACCTAAATAAATGGAGGCCACACATATATGGCCAATTGATTTTTCACAAAGGTGCAAAGGAAACTCAATAGAGAAAGAATAGTTTTTTCACAAATAGTGATAGAATAACTGGATATCCATAGATCCATTCCTTGAACCATAGATAAAATTAACTCAGACTGCAGTATACGCATAAATATATGCATATCTTTGTCTTGTAAAAAATTAAAATTAAAAATGTGCAAGACTAAATTATAGTGTCAAGAGATAAATATTTGGGGGTAAAAGTACAATGATATGCAAGGAAGAGTTCATTATTTTAAGTTAAGAATGTGACTAATTTGTGGGGGAGGAAGAGGGTGGCAATAGTGATAGGAAATTTGAAATGGCAAAGTTTTATTTCTTAACCAATGCAGTGATTACAAAGATATGTACCCTAAATGGTTTATTAAGCCATGAATCAGTTTTGTGTTTTCTACCTGTATTGTATTTTCCCACGAAATGATTAAAAATAAGTAAAGGACAATAATACCAATCACCAGTTGGGATGTGGACAGAAAACTCTCATAAAATGTAATGACAGTTTAAATGGTACTATCAATGGGGAAAATTATTACTATATACTAAAACTGATCCTACACATACCCTGCTACCTGGTAGTTCCTGTCATATGAATACACTCAACAGAAATGTGTACATCAGAAAACATTTACAATAATGTTCCAACAGCATTGTTTGCAAAAAGTGAAAATGATCTAAAGGCCCAATAAAGGCAAAAGGGGTGAACAAATTGCTATATATTCATACACTGGAACACTTTTGTTGTTAGTGCTGTCAAATTGATTTCGACTCCTAGCAACCCTGTGCACCGCAGATCGGAATCCCGTTGGATCTTTTTGTGCCATCCTCTCACCCTCCAGCACTGTATCAGATAATGCTTCACTGCTATTCACAGGGTTTTCATGGGCAATTTTTTTGGAAGTGGGCAGCCAGTCCTTCTTCCTAGCCTGTTTTAGTCTGGAAGCTCCCCTGAAAGCTGTCTACCATGGGTGACCCTGCTGGTATTTGAAATATCGATGGCATAGCTTTCAGCATCACAGCAACACACAGCTGCCACAGTATGACAACCAACAGACCAGCGGTGTGGTTTCCTGACAGGGAATCAATCCGGGCCCTGGCAGTGAGGGCAATGATGCTTAACCACTAGACAACCAAATGGAACATTACAGGGAAAGAATAGTAAATTAGCTACTGACATCTACAACATGCTGTTGTTTGTATGTATTATCACAAACATACTGTTAAACAAGATGCCAAATCCATAAGCAAGCTGTATGATTCAACTTACATCAACTTCAAGAACTGGCAAAGCTGATCTATGGTATTAGAAGTCAGGGTAGCAGTTACCAGAGGGGAGGGAGCCTCTTCAGAGGGGGTGCTAGAGTTTTATTTTTTGATCTGGTTCAGGTTTGGCTACCCAGATATGCTCATTTGTGAAAATTCATCCACCTCTACACTTTGGATTTATGCATTTCTTTGTGTATATTTTACACCAAAGGAAAATGTTTATTAAAATAACAGCCTTGTCTATAATATATGAAGATGTAAGAAAAAGCTGACAATCCTGCAGAGTCCTGGCAAGTAGAGGCCTGTTTAGTGCCTTTAACAACAGCTGTGAAGATCTGTGCATTCACCACACTGAAAAAGAATGAGCAGGCAGATTAATAAGCTACAAAGCCATTCCCTTTTAAAAAGAACATTGTTGGGGCCGGCCCCATGGCCGAGTGGTTAAGTTAACCACTCTACTTCCACAGCCCAGGGTTTGCCGGTTGGGATCCCCAGCACAAGCCTACACACCATTCATCAAGCCATGCTCTGGTGGCATCCCACATAGAAGAACTAGAAGGATTTGCAACTAGGATATACACCTATGTGCTGGGGCTTTGGGGAGGAAAAAAAAGCAAGATTGGCAACAGATGTTAGCTCAGGGCCAACCTTCCTCACCAAAAAGCATAACTTGGGCTGGCCTGGTGGCATAGCGGTTAAGTTCACACACTCTGCTTCAGTGGCCTGGGGTTCGCAGGTTTGGATCCTGGGCATGGACCTAGCACTGCTTGTCAAACCATGCTGTGGTGATGTCCCACATAAAATAGAGGAAGATTGGCACAGATGTTAACTCAGGGCCAATCTTCCTCAAAAAAACTAATAATAAGTTTAAAAAAACATTGTCCAATGAAGAAAGCATTCTTGATAAGATTATGCCAATGAAACTGCCCACTAGGAACTAAGTCTTGAAGGAGGGAACGTAAGACTTAAATTTGGAGGCAAAGTATCAACTGACCCTTGTTATATGCAAATTCCCAGTGAAAATATAATGGTGCCAGTATTGTAAAATTAGGATGTTTTTGGTTACTGGTGGTCTTGTTATACAGCTCTGGAGGTTTTGAATGCTTTGCCCCAACTTTACCTGTCCCAAAAGCCCTACATGTTTTTACTGCACACGCTGCAGGACATGCTCCCACCCTCTCCCAAGGAACACATATATGACATCATAGCAGAAATACTTCGACTGAACTTCTCTGGAGTATTTAGGGATGAAGAGGTAATCCTTCTCTGGTTATATGATAGTTTATCATTTTTATCCACTTGTAGTTTTTATTAGGCCAATCATGACCCCAAGATGGTTAAAAACAAGACTTAATTGTCCACCCAAATGGACAGAAAATACTGTAAGAAAATTTTTTAAGCTTAAACTGAGATTTTCTGACATGAAACCACAGGGTGCTAAGATCAGTCTCATATATTTCCTTGAGGTTTAAATAAGAAACTGTATGTAAATGTACTTAGTAAAGTGTTTGGTACAAATTTAGCACTTAATATGTGTTAATTATCTACTGTGCTTCATATGCTGTTGCAGTTACTTTCCTAACTATGTTTCTCTTAAATTAATATGCAAAATAGGTGCCCTCCCAGAGAAGGGAGTCAGCTGAAGGTGGCCTGAGCGTGTGATCAATGCTGAATAGTCACAGAAGCCAACCAGAGGTTCAGAAAGAGCCTGGGGCACATATGTTACATTTCTGGAATACAAAATCCTTAAGGGCTTCAGGTTTTTTGTTAAATGAGGGAACTTAGGGTAGGAGCTTAATAAATATTTGTGAGTATATTAATAAATTAAATACACTTTTAGCAGAATATATAACATAATATATTATAAATGTAGGTTGTGTAGGAGAGTTGGGGTCCTTGAACCTCATGTTTAGACTTTTTGTATTATTTGTCATAAAATTACATAGATAATAATGGTTTAGCTAGTGCTTGTTTGACACATTAGTTTCCCATCAAAGGCCAGTTCTCAGCAAAACTGTGGTTTGGGAAAGGTCCGTCTGTGGTGTCTTGTCCCTCTTACATTAGTTATGCTTGATTCTTTTTTCCCATGGCTCTCAGCACTTCTGCTAGGTTTCCACTGGGCATGCTTCTAGTTGTATTAACATCTGGTGGGGTTAGCAGAAAGCACTTCAAAGAGGGTAGCCTGGGCCAGCCACACCTGCATTACAGCAGTAAGTTCTGGGGGCTCTCAAAGACCTTCAGGGTACAAAGAGATGTAGCTGGGTGTGGCGTTTCAGGCATTCCAATAATTAGAGATATTAGATTTGGAGGCCAACAGACTTGCTTTGTGCTACTCATACATAATACATAAAGCAGCTCCCACTCTTCTCATATTTAAGTTTGCTTTATAGGTAAGTTCTTAGACTCATCCATCACAAGAGAACAAGCTAGGGAAGAATATCGTTTCCATGTGTTTCAGTATTTGTCCACTTACTAGGACTGTATTTCAAGGTGGCTGGAAAATTTATCTTGGGGGCTTGGGAAATAGTCATACTTGCTTGAATGCTAGTTGCAGGTTAATAATATGTCTTTTCACTAACAGAGAACTGCAGAGCCCTTGGAGAGACTCCCAGTTAGTTTCTCAAGTCCACACTACATCACACTGGTATGGTCCCTTGCCTTCTTTCTGTTGGTTGTGCTAGTCTGTGTCCATTTGAATACTTTTGATGCCACTTAATCATTTGTCGGTTCCTTGAAAAGGTTTAATAATATAATGTAACCCTCTGATTTGAGGCAGAAATAGGACACTTCCTACTTCTCAGCAGGGCTGGGATTAGGGTGAGAAGCGCACAGCGAGCCATGTAAGGGTTTGGTCAGAGACTGTCTTTATTGAAAATATTGGCATTGGGCCGGCCCAGTGGTGCAGCAGTTAAGTTCTCACATTCCGATTCTTGGCGGCCCGGGGTTCACCGGTTTGGATCCCAGGTGTGGACACGGCACCGCTTGGCAAAAGCCATGCTGTGGTAGGCATCCCACATATAAAGTAGAGGAAGACGGACATGGATGTTAGCTCAGGGCCAGTCTTCCTCAGCAAAATGAGGAGGATTGGCAGTAGGTTAGCTCAGGGCTAATCTTCCTCAAAAAATAAAATAAAATAAAATATTGGCATTGTGTTCATCATGAATTCTTGGGACTTAGTTTTTATTTATTTTTAAAAACAATGCATTAACCCATTATTGACCATGAATATTGAGCTTGTATGTGCCCATTAAATGTTGCTCCTGAGAGGACTGTCTCACTCCCCTCACTCTGGTCCCAGCCCTGATCCTCAGGGTAGAAACATAACGACAGCTTCCAATGAGGCCTCAATCAGCCTGAGGGCTTTCCACTGATTGAGGAGGTGTATTCCCTGAATCAATATTGAAGAGAAAGCAGCAAATTAGCCAAATTAGCACACATGTGCAGTAGAGACTGACTCAAAAAAGAGCTATGACAGGATCTCTAGGGTCATGGCAACTGCTGCAGTCTCCGTATCTACATCTGCATCCTCAAGGTCACACCGTGGAACACTTCTTCAGAAGCAGGTGCTGAATGCTCCAAGATTCTCAACTGTATATTTTTAAAATCAGAAATTCTCATTATGCTTTCTTTATTAAAGGCTAAAGAGTGTGATTAAGATAGTTTTCAGTCTGCAGTTCCACAGAATCCTCCTGTCACACACGGATCTCAGAATGTGCTCTACAGTCAGAGTGGAGCTGAAGGATCACATCTCCCCACACCCCACTCAACCATCATAATCCATTTTTATAAATTGGTTTTACTGCGATTTTAATAGAGTTTTTTTTTAAAGAAAGCCCTAATGCTTGAAAAATGTTTGGCAGTCTCTTACCAAATATATTGTTGGAGAAAATTACAGAAAGGTTTACAAGGAAAAATGGTTTCTGATAAAGCTTCGCTTAACCAGAACTATGCCCCCTCATCTCACAGCAATTTACAAACTCTCTTAAATTTTTCGTGCATCGGGAAGAGGTGGTCTGTGTGTGTATGCGCTCATGCGTGTGTGGATCTATGTGTCACATCTGGTGCAGTTCCTGACACAACAAAATTTAATTTTCTAGAAACCTGCAAGTGAAGATCCAAGAGAAATCGCAGATCCCAATCAAAGTGCCAAAGTGGTAGGTTCCTGTGACGGATGGTACCCCCTTTTTAAATTTCTCAAATGCTAGCATCCTTTTGTGTTCTTTACCTGCTCATTGATTGACCAGAGACATCCTCTGTCCTTATCAGAAGAGTAGGAAGGTTGAAATTGTTTTGTCTGTTATGCTAAAATTTCTAACAGATAATTCATCAGAGCATGCTTCAGTCCAAGAGTTTTCAACCTGACCAAAGGAGCAAGCTAGAATTCAACAGTGTCAGAGTCGCAATACATTTTAGAAATAACAACAAAAACAAAACTTCTTCCTCAAACTTTTCTTGGCCAGAGTATACATAGCCATGGGTTCTCATGAAGTATTTTAAAGGACATAATAGTAACTACAGAAAGGGTATCATTCCTAATGGAACCGTTTTTTTCCATTATTGCTTTACTCAAGTTTTCACTTACCAAATCAGTAGCTGACTGTATCTAAGGGATCATTTCACTTTTGAATGACTATGTCTACTCTAGAAAATGTATCAAAAAATTGTGATTTTTGTCAAAGGGAGACAAAATGAGCACTGGTTGGCTACACCTCAGAGTGTTTGTTTTCACTCCTTCATGCATCCATTCAACGTGATTTTCGCTGAGTTGCTACAAGGTACTGGGTTAACATGAAGCTTCCCCCATAAAGCATCCTTACAAGAAATCCTGCCCAATACACCCTCCCTACTGAGATGGAGAAGGAAGGATGTTTCTAATGGTCCTTCCAATCCACAGTGATGAATCTGCCTCATATTGGAGAGTGGAGAGGGCACTCCTTAGTACAAACAAACTGGCTTCCTGGAATGAAAAACAAAGTGATTTTCTTTTCTTTTGTGATAGGCTTCTTCATTTTTTAATAACTGCTTAATTAGCCATGGCTAATGAGATCTGGAAAAATGTGAATATATGTCGTACAACAGAATCCAGAAAGGTTATTGTAATTAGTAGATACAAATGAGTAGCTGAAGTATAATATGCTTATAGATTTTGCAGAAAGCAACTCATTTTTAACCATCTGTTTCTATTTAGAGCTTGAAATTGGATATCCAAAATGGCTGTGCGAGGCTGGGTTGAGGATTCTGGACGCAAGGTCTTCACAACCTTCCCTAGATATTTGCTACACAAATTTCTGGTAGTTTTTCAAATGTTCTTTATCCAGATAGAAAATGCTGAAGAAAAACAACTTCTTTCTGTAATATTTACTGTAGAATTCATAATCTGTAGCGTAGACATATGCCACCCAAAAAAATCCTTATAGTTTTTCAAATGCTCTTTAGCTTAATACAGACATAAACAGTCTCCATGCTCTAGTGTTTTCCTAGAAAATGTTAATCTAGTTACTTAAAAAAGAGTCAAAACCTTGAGGATAGTAAATTACAGCAGAATTTGTCTAAGAAGCAAAACACGGCTTATAAAATATTATTTCTTTGGGAGCATAAAAGTATTTACCTTAATTTGAACATGACACGATTACCACTAATTCTGGTTTAAATGAAAGTTTCCCCTGCAGAAATGCCTAGGAATTCAGTGCAGCAAGGCATCTGATTCACCAGTTTCTTGCAAAGTAGGCGCTGGCCCTCCCGCCCCTGTCAGTGGAGGAGGCAGAAGAGCAGTCCCCACCACTGGAGAACAGTTCTTAAAATTGTGGTGGCAGCCGAGGAGGACGCGAAATGCCCCTGGTGATTCTAAATTCCTAAATTCCTAGAATTCCTTAAGAACCTGACAGAGAAGTCAGAGGGTTACAAGAATTTCAGGAAATTAACTCCAACAGAGAAGACATACTCCCAACTCCCCTGAAGGGCTTGGGAGATCGTTGTAATACATGGATCTGAGCACTTAACGTGGAGCTTCGGTGCCCTCTCCACCGTCCCTGCCGGCTGATTATGGTTGTGGGGTTGTCCTGGGAATGACTCCAGCTATTTCTTACCCTGATGTTTCTCAACGCGTTCTCTTGTGTTCTTTCTTTTCTTTTCGTTAACTGTTAAAGCTATATGCGATTATCTTTTTATTTACTGAAATAGTTTTCAAGTGCTGAGTGCAAATTTTCAGTTTCAATTAAATAAAAGCTGCAAATCAAAGAAGAAAGCTGATTGTTCTTGGTGAAATCTTTGTTGCTATGTCGCCTGGGTAATGAGAGGAGAGATTGAGACCCGCCAAGGAGAGCAGCGGCTCAGCGCTTTATACTGTCAGCGTTCTATAAGCTTTTGTTGTTCTACTTAAAACCATCACTTTAAGAAAGAATACGGATAAATGTGTACTTAAAGCAAAAGAAGCTTCTTTAAATATTTTATGTAAATTTGTAGGAAAAAAGAGAAATTCCAAATCTGATATATACTAGCTTTATGAAAGCAAATAACAATCCTCTGATGTCCAAAAGAAAACAGTCACATATTTCTATTCTCCTGAACAGTACATATGTTGGTGAACAGCATACATTTGGGTGATATCTTATTCCTCCTTTCAAAGGATAGCCTTCTTGATTCATTATTTTTGTTATCGTTCCCTCATCTCTGCCAGAGAACTCACCATCACCACCCACTTCCTCTGCCTGGGGCTCCACTGATTTCTGGTGATATTTTTCCCCCAAATTTCTTTTGTTTCTAATTATGAATATGTCTGCTATCCCCTAAATCCTCCTGCTTCATTGCTTCCTGCCTAGATAATCACTCTAGACTTCAAAGCTGCATGTTTCTTCTTCAGATAACGCCGGAGGCCTCCTGCCAGATAAGCCCCTTTGGTATTTTAGGGGGCATTCTCCCTGCTGGCCCATGCTGCTGAGCCTAGGCCTTCCAGACTTTACCTACGCTCCTTTCAAACGCTGCCACTACCTGCTCCATTTCTTAGAGACCCTCTCCTTGCAGTACCGTCTACACGTTAGGAAGCATCTTCACAGCTTCTCCCTGTTAGTGGTTCCTGTAGGCACAGTTCTGTCCCTGACTATGATTTCACAGCCTTAATATTGCTGGCTCTTGCCACCTCCGGGGGTTTGAATCCTTTCCCTTGGACTCACAATCGCAGCTGGTCTCTTGTTGAGAATGGACAGACCTGCAGTCTGAGGGCCTCTGTCTTCCACCTCGGGCCCCATGAACTTCTGGCTGCCCGGCCTCCTGCACACATGCAGAATGCTTCCTGATCCTGGTACTTGCCTGAGCTAAGACTGTGCTTTCTGCAGCCCTGGATGTCGTGTCCTGGGGCTGGGCTGTTCTCTGCAACTGGGTCATGTACCCTCTGCCCTGGACAGAGGTGGATTTATCTGGAAGCTAATGAAGCTCAAAATTCAGGGCCCATAACATGTATTGACCCTTCCAAGACCTTTTATCTAATTTTGTATTTACATTTTTTCAATGACATTCAGTGGGCTGGATTTGGGTTGAGGAGGAAGAACTTGAATGATTTATCAGCAAAAGTGCCTATAGGAAACAAATAGGACAAAGATGCATCTTTGTTAGGGTGAGGCTGTAGTCCAGCCAGGGAGAGGAAGGGACCAGCCAGGAATGGAAGGTGGGGCCTGGGAATGAGAGAAGCAGGGCGGGTGCGACCAGCTCTCCACACAGACCTGGCTGAATGGAGAAAGACCCGCGTGGGCTGAGCACCCCAGAGAGCAGCACAGACGCAGATTCAGGAGCGGAGTGAAAACTGAGTGCGCTTTGACTATGTTCCCCAGCCCACACGCAGATCAATGGCGAGCGCGGAAGCTTTACCGGCTCAGGGAGTTTGAACAAAAACCTCTGATCGAATCACTGACCACTGAGCCACGCAGACAACCCGTAGAGAAACAGTATAAAATATAGAAACAAAATTTAAAACTTGAGCAGAGACATCAACAGCTGTATATTTCGGTGGGGGCAGGGTGGGCAATAGATTCTGAAGTTTAAGTTCAGGCAAGTCACTTTTTAAAACACTCAGAAAAATCAGAATCCATACTTATTACAATATATTATCTAAATGCTACTGTGCCAAGGAATCTCAAGGGTGTGTTGACACCATCTAGCAGGACTACAGCGATAGTGAGCCAAAACAAAGCAAAACAAAAATGGCATTCCCAATACAGCACGGATGATTTTCAAATATCAACCAGCTCCACACAGTCACTTTGCCTTTTTCTCAAGGAACCTGCGCTGCCAGGTGATTGTGGAATTCAAAAATTCACAGTGGGCGCGTTTTGGGAGTCAGATTCTACAGAAAGGTAATCACTTCCTTACTGGCATGTGAATGAGTCGCAGGTGCGTCAGCACCTTACAATCCATTGATGCAGTTCCGAGAATGGCCACCAGGTGGCAATAGAGCAAATTAAATCTCCTATGGGCTGGAACTGCTCCGTTATTTCGTCCCTTTGTCAGACGACACCAGGACTTCAGAATCGTGACTTTAAATAAACTCACTAGGAAATTTGTTAAACTGCGTCCCAGGTTATGAAAGATGTAACTTTGGGGAATTTTGCCAGACACCACTTCCTTCTCTACCAGGGTCTTGGCTTGAGGTACGCAAACAGGGACCACGCCCTTAAACAAAATGGGAGCTGGGCTGGCAGCCCCAAAGCTCTGCACGGAGATTCTAAATTGGAAAGATAAATCCTCAGTTCTGAAGGTCAGTATTCTTAAAGTGGACGTCTCAATAGCTCAAATAGCCCAGACTCCTGAAAACTACTGTGGGAGTCTAGTTTTTGGTTTTGTTTTTTAATTTTATATTATCTGTTATCTTTTTTGAAGGCCAGCAAGTTAGCCACTGCTGCCATGGAAACCTGAAGCGCTCCCCTTCCCCAGGGACGGATAATGGATAGTAAGTGTCAGGAAAAGCTGCAGCCTGGGTGACATACGACTTTGTGGTGGACTGCTGATGACAGTTGATGTCTCCCTACCGATCATCACCAAGGAGCGAGGAATATTGATTAGACTTCTGAGCACATTGGAAGCTTCCTGATTGCTTTCCAACAGAAGTCCAGGCTTTTAGGAAACTCAAGAACTGTTATGTAGGGAAGTGGCTGTCTCCTGGCCTTGACAGAATCCATTAACATCTTTCTCCAGGAAAAGCTGTAACTGTGAGCTGTATGTAATGGATATTGATTGCTAAGAAAAGATACATATAACTTTAAACCTCAGGGATCTCCAGGGACAAAAGATATAGAAAAGGGGGCCTTCAGGATCATAGGAGTCCTAGCTGGGAAGAAATTGTAGCAGAGCTATCTTAGAGAATCTTAGATAAGTTAATTCAAAAGCCACTGCTTCTTGTTCAAGGATACCAGCTATTTGCTACAAAGAAAACAATTGCAGCGTTTACTGAGTGGTGCTATTTGTCAGGTATTATTCTAAGCGCTTCACATGTATTGTTCCATTTAACTCAAAACAACCCTATGAGTTAATTACTATTATTATCCTCATTTCACAGTCTGAGAAAATCGAGGTCAAAAGTCAAATAATTTGCCAAAAGAGAGATGGTCGATTAAGTACCATATTCAAGATATTAACCCAGAAGTCTAACAACAAAGAGTATGCTTTTAATCACTATCATGCTACCGTTGTGAATATAATTTTGACAGGGAAAAAGCTAAGGCCTCCCCAAACTCAGACATGGGTAAGGAAAATTAACATATCTCACTCCCGTTATCATTTTCCACCCACCAAACTTCCCAGCCTTCACAGCCACAGTAATAGTGATGCGTGGTTTCACACAGCAAGGAAAGAAAAGGGAAGCCAGGCAGCAGTCACTTCCCAATTTAGCTGGACCCTGGTTGAAATGCCGTTGTCCACCGTAGAGCTGTATTTGGGGCTGCACCTGAGACTTGAACACTTTCTGCTGTTCTCCTGGCCACTCCCTAGGGGGCGCTTGTGGTCTTGGAGTCTTTTCTGGGTTTTACAACTACTTCGGGTTTTGAAAATGCTTTCTCGACAGAACAGCGCTCTGCCTGGGTGCTGTTTTAGTACGCTTTAGCATGCCTGGGAACACTGTCTGTTGCTGCCTCTACCAGCTGTGTACGGGGAAGGAAAACCAACAGAATGATTGACACTTGACAGCAGCCGGTGGGCCAGGGGATGGCAGGGGTCAATAAAGGGCAGAACCTTCTGAAGAAGCCTTCTTCCTTCCTTTAATAAAATGAAGAATGACCAGGTGAGTGGTTGCCTTTAACACGTGGGGAAAGAGGGAGGGTCCGTTCTGCACCGTTCAGACTCCAGGCACCTGCCAGACCTTCATACATTTATCATTTGACGCCCCCTGCAAAGCTCTGTGACAAGTATTGTTTTCCAGACAAGGAAAGTAAGGATAGGAGATCCCCAGACACACAGCTGTAAATGGCAAAACAGAAATCTGGACACAGGCCTCAGATCAAAGCTGCCATCTGAATCGTTACCTACTCTGGCTTTGAGGCTGACTTATCACGCACCAATGTGACAACGACATCACAGGGGACCACTGAATAATCCAGGAGTTTATTCTTGGGAAAGGCGACTTTGATCCAAAAAGCGGCTGGCCAGCAAAGAGCAGTGGGTGGGGCCTCCACTTCCTAACCTAGGTTTTGCCGTAAAGCAGCAGGTATCAATTTCATTTTCACGTCTTCTCCAGGTTCTTCAAAGTAATGATAGAGAGCAGAAACTGTTCGAAGGTCTATTGTCATTCCCACAGGACTGAAAAGAGAAATCACTGGAAAGGAAAATATAAATGACTTTAGACAAAGCTTCCAGCATTTAAAATCATTCTCACTCCATCTTTAAACTATTCTTTTCTCCCACATTATCAGCATCAGCCTCTTGATATAAAGGTTTATGTCAGTGAGTCAGGAATGGTGAAATTTTAAAAAATCCTAAAGTCCTTTCTCAGGGGCATGTGTCTTCAGGTCTGCCAGGGAAAGTAGCTGGAGATAATTGGATCTTCTCTGAAGTGTGTCTCATGCTGTCTCTGAAGAAGGACACAGTTTAAGATATCGTCACTTACTGCAGTCTTTAGGCTGGCTGAGGGAAGGAAGAAATAATGTCCTAAGTATCACACCGAGCAAATTTGATGCCTCAATATTGAGGCACTGCCAAGCAATTCAGAAGAAAAATAATCAATTCATTCCATCTTGTTAATGCCTCCTTAGTAGTTTAACAGAT